GGGGGGGGGCGCGGCTAAATTTATTTTGACAAACATTTCATGAACTTTTTTATCCGATCTTGGGCCAGTATAGACAGTTTTGAAGGCAAAGAAAAAAAGAACAAAAACTAGCCATAATTAATTTTTCCAAATTTAAAAATCAATTATAAATAAGATAAATACCGATTATGGTTTATCAAAATCTAAAAAACGAAGTTATTATTCAGGCTTTTCTGAGATTCTACATTTATTTTCAACTTCTATAATGCTTGTTTGCTTATAAAATGTATGATATTAATAACTGGATTAATTTGATTTTGAAATTAACATAAACAAAGTGAAAGAAGCTCAGAGTTACCATCTACTACGATTTGCTACACTTATTTATATTTTTTTATAGATTGGTATGCGATGCTGTGGATATTGATTGGTTCACTATCATGCTGTTGATTGGACTGTTGGATCTATAGGTAGGCTTCAACATATCCTACTTTACTGATCGGTGGCCATAACGACACTGTAGTTTTCATGCAAGCCATGAAGTCCCTACGATTGCCTACCCATATGTCCATTTTTTTTTCTTTATTTTAAATCCTCAATTAGACATTATTTTTTTTAAAGAGGGGGGGTTGGTTTTGGGAGGGGGGGGGGGGGGGGGGGGTGGTGGCGCGTGCCCCTGTTGGTCCCCCCATTGAATATGCCAATGTCAAGAAGAGAAGAAAAAAGTAATCTATAATTAAATGTTGACAAGTCTACTAAACAACCAAGAAGTGTACAAAAAAACAAAAGAATAAAATTAGAAATCTAGAACTAGTCCAGACAGTTCTCTTGAGGCTGAATATGTTGCTGAGATGAATTTGGCTGTTGAATTATGGGCCACGAAGCAGAAATTTCGTGGTTCTTGGTTTCCGTAATTAGTTGACAACCATGTTTTTTTATTGTTAGTGAGAAGAGTAGCAACTACAGGCCTTTCTTGGTAGGGAATTCTGCACCGTTTACTAGCAGGATGCTGGTTGGCTGGAAAGAAGATCTTCTAGCAACAGGACTGTAGGCCGGCGGAGAGGAGTAGGAAGACGAAGTACTGGATGGTTGGCTGGCTGGAAGAAAGACTTCCAGAGATAGGACTGCAGGCCGGCAGAAGAGGAGGAGGAAGAGGAAGTGCTGGCTATCAGCTGGTATGAAGCTGGGAGAGGAAGGAAGAAGATTGGAAATTGGCTGTTGGCTGGAAGGGTTGACGAGCAAAAGGAAAGGGGATGGGTGGTTTGATCACTACCTGGAGACTTCCGGGATATAGAGAACAAGAGAGCTATGGCTCTTTCCTAAACAACAAAATTTGAATTTTAGGTTTAAAGAACCTCTATTTATAAGCTTTCATTTAGTAAACAAGGAAATAGAATAAAATACAGATAATGCTATTTTAAGGAAAAAAACATATTAACTAATAAAAATTAAGAGAACATAAAAGGTGGGGTTTGGTTGGTTTTAACCCAACCGGCCAAGCCTTGTGTCAGATAGTAGGTATCATTTGAAGTAACTGCAGAGGAGCTAAAGATGATGCTTATATTTAAATTGATATGTTTGAAATGAAATGAAAGCATGCATGTTGTGTACTTACCTATTCAAATAGCTTTGATTATCAATGTGTTGCAATTTTTATCTATGAAGCTTAGACAATCAGATGAATATGACACACCATGCCTATGAAAATTCAATTTGATCGTGAAAGGCAAGACACAATAAATTATGTTTATGATATTTTTTTAATAAATTATTAAAATAAATATTATTAAAATACTTAATATTTAAATTTTCTATTAAAAAAGATTGACATAATGAAGTGTGATATCATATATATCACATTAAAAACTAAAGGATCAACAAAAGAAAGGTAATATTGATTTAATTATAGTTAAATTTTGATGTCATCAATTTTATTTCATTATTAATAGTGAACTGACATCCACATTAATTATTAAACATGGTTTTGTCAATATTAACATTGTATTGTACCCACAAAATGCCAAAAACCCCAAAAGAGTTTATAATTTAAAATAAGCACTAAAAATATGAAAATTTTTTTATACCACTAATTGGACTCAACACTAGATACCGCGATCATTATCACAACTAACTATATTGTCCTCTTCAATGGCTCCTTCACCATCAGCAAGAAAAAAAACATTTTGCAAAGCTACCTCTTCAGGAAAAATATTTTCATTGTCAGCACATGTTCCGCCGTGTTAGGGAGTGTTGAAGGCATGAGCAACCTTAATTTTGTAGAAAAAACACCATCAAACAGATTGTCAGTGTGTCGTACATTTTTGGTGTGTTGGATATGTGCTGAGACATGTGTCCTACACATGTTTTACATGGATTTAGAAGGCTTTTTGAGGAGTCTGCCCTTCATAGACTTTTATGTAATTAAATCACTGGTGATAATGTTTTTTCATTCTTGTGAATGTATCTCAGGTGCCGAGAAACATTGATGCAAATTTTGAGAAGCCTCATCCTTCAGAATGCAAGCTTATGATTGATGAAACACATATTATGCATCAAACAAAATCAGTTACACCTTTGGTCGATGATGAGGAGCTTGAACTCATGGAGTTAGAGTCAGCTTCAACTCCATTTAGATGTTCTGAGCATCTTGGTTCAAGAGGAGGGCATGGTTGCCCACTTTGCAAAGGTTTTTTTATTTTTTATTTTATTTTTTTATTTTACTTTTTAACGCTGATTAGTATTCAACAGTAGATACTGACATAATATTCTTCCATCATCTAGATGTTTTAACGAGGTTTCCCCCTAAAATTGTCAAAATGAAGCAGCCAATTTCTGCAAAACCCTGGGATTTTTCTCCTGAACTAGTGAAGAAATTGTTCAAGGTAAGCTCAGTTTTCATGGCATACGCAGTCTTCAAATTAGCTAAATTTTTGCGTTCTTATTGTACCAGTGGCATTGTTAATTAAATGTTACTCTCTAAGCATCTAAGATGGTATCAAATGATGAGATTAAACTTGCTAGCTTTCACTTTTTTTATAATGAAAATCTGGGCGCACCCTTGTCGATGGTTAGAAACAATGTTTACCAAACTGTTACAAATGAACAGTCACAAACAGAGAATCTGAAAAAAGATGAACATTTAAACAGAAATAAAAAACAACTTTTGAGGAATAGTAGCAAATTGATTCCCCTCCATAAATTTGTTAATTTTTTCTAACTTTCCATTGGTTTTTTGTTTTACTGAGTATTGATATTGCTAGACAAAAGAATCTTCTCCTTTTTCTTCTTGATGAGAAAGCTTCCAGCATTACTTTCAGTTCAAATGATACAAATGAAAGAGAAGAAAAAGTCATCCCACAACTCTTTGAAGTAACTTCCATAAAATCATTTCTCAAAGGGTTGAAGGCTGAAATCCAAGCTAACATTTGGTGAGGAAACGCTTAAAAGATTATAAAACCTAAATATTAGATTTAGAAGCAAAGCACACCCAAGGAAGATATGAAAATCATGTTCCTACTTGTCACCACACATAGGAAGCATAGTTGGCAATTGGAATGAAGATACCTTATCAAAGATTTTCTCGGATAAAGTAACAAGTCAAAAACTTTATTTTAAGAGAAACAATAGATTTTCTAACCTAAGATTAAATTGAATGATACAAGATCATAGAAGTTTTTCTCAATCATTTAAGTGAGAATGAGTGAGACCTCTCCAAAGCCCATGTCATCCGCTATTTGTATAATGAAATGAAGCAACTAAATTATTATAATTCTTGGTAAAAGTGAAAATATCTTTAGATTTGATGTAGGAAGGGGGGGTTCAAAACAAGTTGGATTTTAAATTTGGGAGCTTCTAGGTCCTCTACTAGAATCAGCTCATTAATGTCTAGTAGAGAGCCTTTTTAGCTCATAAATTGAGGATCATTCCCCCATTTGCTGCCCTTTAGTTTCCCCACTTGCCTCTTCTCCTTCCCTTTGTCTTTTCGTTTTCCTGTGCTGGCTGATTCTCCCGTGCCTTGCCCTTTGGTTCCCGTGGCTACTGCTTGGTCCCCGTGCCTTGCCCCTTGGATTCCTGTGGCTGTTGCTTGCAAAAATGCTCATTATGGAGGATTTTGGCCCTTTCTCTTCCCCATATTTCCTCTCGGTTTCCTCCTTGCCTCCTCGTTTTCTCTTGGCTGCATGTTTGGTTCCCGTGGATGGCTACTTGGTTCCCGTGGCTGGGCCTTTTGGTTCCCGTGGATGACTGTTTAGTTCCCGTGGCTCGGCCCTTTGGTTCCCGCGGCTGGCTGCTTGGTTCCTGCGGTTGGCTGCTTGGTTCCCGCGGCTGGTTGCTTGGTTCCCGTGGTTGGATGCTTGGTTCCCGTGGCTTCTCTTCTCTGTTTTGCTGAACCGTTTGGGGGCTGCTGTTTGGTGGTTGTTGGCCTTACTTGGGAGGGAAATTCTATGGAGATTTCTCTGATTTCTGTGCAGTTTTCCTGCAGTTGTTTTACCCTATTTCCTATGCAGATTTTAAGTGTTGTTTTGCTGATTTCTGTGCAGTTTTTGGGGGCTGTTAGTAGTGTCTTTTGGCCTTCCATTTGGTGACTTTTGGCCTTCTATATTTAATAGTTTTAGGTGGCTGTTTGGCTGCCCTTTTCTTCTATAAATAGGAGGTGTTATGGGATGTAAAAAGAATGTTATGATGATATTTTTGGAGCCAAAAAAAACCTGTGAGGTTTTTCTTCTTTCTTCAGAATAGCTTGCGAGCTATGTCCTTCACCTCTTCTTATTCTCCTATAGGATAACTTGCGAGTTATTCCTGTTTCGTCTCGGCTCCTAATCTCCTTCTTCTATCCGCAAGTTCGACTTCATTTGTATCCTTCTTCTTAATCTAAGAAAGCAGTTTTAGGAAAGTCATAGTGTCTTTATTTTGTCGTTTGTAAGTCTTTATATATATTAGAGTGAAGTTGTTTTTTTTTTTTGTTTATTTATCTATTTTGTGTTCATTTGTGTATCTTCTAAGTTATAGGAAGAGTCATCTTTTGTAATAAAAAATTTGGGGTCCTTCCCTAATTTTTGACTGCATCAATTTGGTATCAGAGCAAGTTTTGCGTGTCTTGGTGAGTCATAGCAGTTGTTGTGTGTGAGTCTAGGTTTCTTTAGGTTGAGTCTTTCTTTCTTTGAGTCTAAGTTTCTTGTTGAGTTTTCTTTTGTAATAAAAAATTTGGGGCCCTTCCCTAATTTTTTATTGCATCAAGATTGAATGACAATCTTTAATATGACGAGAAAAGAATAAAAATGGTCCATTAACTCTTTATGAAGGACCAAAATGATTTCCAACTACATTAAAGGACTATTTTGATTCCTCAAGTGCTTAAAAAAGAACAAAAGACTAAAATAGCTCTTTAATATAGTTTAAGATTATTTTGGTCTTTGATAAAGAGTCAAGGGACCATTTTGATCTTTTTTTCTTAATATAACTATCTGTAGAGTGAAATGAAGCAACCAAATTTTTAGAATTTGGTGGGAAAGTGGGAAGATCTTTAAATTGAGTCGGCAATTATTAATTTATTTATCTTTCCAATTATTGGAAAGTAGATGTATTAGATTTGGCTTATGTTAATAGATGTAGAGGTAGACCTAAAAAAACTTGGTTAGAAAACATTAAAAATGACATTTCTTTGTTTGATTTAAATGAAAATTTGACTCTTAACACTTAACAGGACACAATGGAGAAAAATGATTCATATTGCCGACCGCACATAGTGGGATAAAGGCTTGATGTTGTTGTTGTTGTATCTTTCGAAATTAAAGCTTCTACCATCATGAATTTTTCAAGAGATATTTAGCAAAAAGTGGTCAAAAGCTTTAGTACCCCTCCATTAAGTTAGATCATTGAGAGATATTACTAGAATGGAAGTCTAAGGGAGTATGATTGCTATCCTGCTTATCATGAATAACATAACCAACAAAAAATCATTTTTATGTTGCTTAATCTTTCAAATCATTTTTCAAGGATAGATAGATTCATCAATGCAAGTCTTTAATAATTGATATAAAGCACCTCGATCTTTAGGTCTACAAATATTATTCACTTGATGAGATTTAGAAAAAAATTTCTTCTAATGCCATTATTTTTTGATAACCCAATTGAGTATTCAAAAGAAAGAGAGGTAGTAGAAATGAATATAATATATCACATAATTTATAAACACAGTCCTTCAGTGAGGAAGTTTTTTTTCAAAAAGAAAAATTTCAATTGAATTTTTTTTATCAGAAGATTCAAAAAAGCTCACTGAAGTCTTCTAGATTCCAAAAGAATGTACGACTAGTTGAATGGTAGAATTTTCTAGATATTAAGCTATTGACCAAGGTAAATTAAAGAAGATTGGGAGAAGTTGATTCTATGAACAAAAGTTTCCTAAAAGATATTTTGTATGTTCTTGAGATTTTTTGCATGATTGGGAGAAGCACTACAAATTGGCGTCATCAACAAATTCTAGATTATTATAGACTTCCCCAAACCCTCTATAATTTGAAAATCAACAATTGATCAAATTGTTTATTGAAGCATTTTGTAACGTTTTATGAAGAGCATCTTTAATGATGATAAAAATAAGAGGAGAGAGAGGGTCCCCTTGCGTAAGACCCTTAAATCTTTGAATTCCTTATCCTCATTGATATTATTCATATTACACGAAATCCAGGAGAAAAATAATCCAAAAGGAGATAAATAGAAAGTTTGGCATACATAAATCAAAAGTTTTTTCAAAATCCGCCTCGAAGACAAGATTTCCTTTGTTTTGTTTGATGGTTGAGTGAATTAATTCATGTGCAATAAGGATGCATTTGAAAGAATGAAAGTCTTACTGCTAGTTGCACCCTCTGAGAGGCATACACAAATAGGGATGAAAACCTTAACTCTATTAGCTAATAGATAAGTAAAAAATTTAAATATATAATTAAGCAGCTAATAAGTTTGAAATCTTTTAGAGGTTACTATCATCATTTTTAGGAGCACGGAAATGAAGGCACCAGGCTTGCCAAAAATTCTTTGCCTAAATTAATATCCTCAAAGTCTCAAACATAGCATGCTATTAAGTCAAGATGAATATGATTCCACATTTCTCAAACAAACGTCAGTGAGAAACCATCGGTATCTGTGGATTTAATGTACCAAGAGAAAAAGCCACCTTTATGATTTCATCAAGGGAAAAATGATTATCTTAGCAAAAAGTTGTGGATAATCTGGCGGATAAAGCTGATGATAGTGTATCTCAAGTTTGCATGCTGTCATGTATGGATAAATATATATTTTTTATAGTTAAAAGTGTAATGCAAGAACAATGTTATATTCAGCGAAGATAACAAGATTATCTAATTGAATGTGGTGGATCTTCTCCAATCAACATTTTTAAGAATTGAGTAGTTATTTTCTCCCTCAGAATACAAATTAATGATCCTGAGGAGAATAAAGAGAAAACTTAGCCTTACTTTCGATGTTAACTTGCTTTGACAAAATCGATTTTTTTCTTACCTCGATAAAAGATGATGCTTTTTCCAGAACTTATGCTTTCTCTGCAAAAAATTAATGTTTTGAAACCAAGCACTTTACGCCATCAACAGTAGTAAATAACTCTTTCCCGCAAGAAGAAATCTTATCTTTGAAGCCATTATTCTTAAAATAGAAATGTTTGAGTCAGGACAATCTCGGATTAATAATAGGAAGATCGTAATAGAATATTGCTGAGCTATAGTTAGGAAAAAATATCTAGAGCTTTTTGGCCAATTTTTGGCCAACAATAGGAAGGAGTTTGTGAGATGATGGAGAGATTAAATATTTGCCTAGTTTGGAAAAAAATCGTTTTCTCTCAATTGCTTGGCCAATAGATAGAGTAAAAATCTAACATTCCAGTATATTTGACCTTTCCATAAATTTGAATAAATATGCTTCAACAAATGGTGATGATTTTGAAATTCATGGCTGATTTGGTCTTACTGGAAATGAAACCTACGAAACAAATACTAAAAATATTTTGAATAGTAATGATTAACATGAAAGTAACTCTCTTTTTTTCAATAAGCAGCCTTATTTTTAAGGTTTTATGCTTTGTTACTTTCGCAAGTCCCATTGTTTAAGAATGAAGTTGTTTATTCGATCTTTGCTCATCATGGGGACGTGGTGTATTGAGTTGTTTTTTGTATAAGGGAAGGTGGATATCAAATGATGTAGAAGAAGAATTAGGCTTCATGCCAATTTGTTGAGGGCTATTTTTGATGAACTCCCTTTTAATTATCTTTCTTTCTACTTATCTTTGACTGTAAGTTTTTTACCCTTAAAATTCCGCTTCAGATGTGAGATGATTGAAGTGAGAGAGGTTTAGAGGTTTTCAGTTGCTTTGAGATTTGTGCTGCAGGGAGAGGAATTTTTTATTTCCAAAACTAAGGAATAGATGAAGCTGAAGTGAGAGGGGTTAGCAGGAAGACGAAAGGTTGAATTTGTAGGAGAGAAAATATAGAGATGATCTTTTTAACGATAATTGAATAAACTCAGCTATCAGACTTATATTTATCTTTTATAGATTAGTGTTACCTTTAAAATAAAACTAAATTAAAATTCAAATTAAATTTCTAAAAATCCTGTTTTTAACTTAAATAAACATAAATAAATAAATTTAAATTTAAATAAAATCCTAATTATAATCTAAAAAAAAAGTAGAATAATTTTGATGTATATTTTATGCTACTTCAATTCTAGTTTGCCTTATATTAAGTGTATTAGATGCACATCGTGCGGATTTTGTTGGATTAGGTACTAATTTTTCCTTATTAGGATGTAGGTTTAGACATGTAGGTTGCCCAAAAAGTGCTCATTTGTGGATCAAATCGTAAATTTTTTGTATGCTCTACTCTCTTTAATTCCAACTTGAACATTATTTTACTTATATTTATTCTTTTCGATTGCTTTTTTTATTTTTCTAATGTCTGGTGTTTCGTGCATGCCAGGTTTTTCAGTTCTTGTATAATCATTCAACTGCCATCGAAATATGCCCTTTTACACTTGATGACTTAGCTCAGGCATTCAGAGATAAGGCTAGTTTCTACAGCCAAACCATACTTTTATCAAGGGTTTTTTTGATATTGTCTCATCGATCTTGATCTCATTTAGCTGTGTATATCGATTTTAGGATTCATTTTTATTGGGAAACATTCATGTGGAGCTTCTCAGACTTCTTCTATCATCTGTGAAAAGTGCTGTATCTGCTGGATTTGTATCACGCAGCTCAAAAGATTGTAGATTTTTGAGTTTGCTACATTATGTAAGTTGACATGTTTAGTATGTACTTGATATCCACAACTCTTGTTGTATTTCTAATTCCAAGTTGCAAAATTTATATGCATTCAAAATAAATTTATGGAGGCTCCTGACATATATTTGACCCTTAAGGATGCATTTCAATTAGATATCTTTATTCTACTTATTCATTTTTGATCTTCTAGAATACATGGTTGATACTATATTTTCACATTAAGATGCATTTATATGCTAGAGGTTTTTTTATTTTGATTATACATTTATGCTAGTCAAGCTTAATTTATAGTTGTTAATTTATTTTTTCTTTGTAGTCTAGCCTTTTTATCATTGTTTGTATTTATTTTCAAATTTATGCCATTTCCAATAAAATTTCTTGGGGGACTAAAAAATATTTTTTTTCTGATTTATGGTATTACTAGTTAAATTGCACGTGCTCTAGGTTCACTATGCTACAGGATTAATCAAGTGCATATACACATGGAGTATGACCTTTTTGTGAACTTGAAGAAAAACTGTGATAGCACAAATTGTAAAATTGGGAGATTCATGCTGACACATTTATTCAATAGAAATAAATTGAATATAAAGGGCTTAGAAGGAGGAACAGGAACAGTGAGGATAAAAATTAATGCGTGCTTTATGATAGTTTTATCAGGATTTCAAAATGTATGTGTTTGAAAGCCTAGACTAACTTTGAAATAAATCATGATGTTGTTCCAATCATGAGTTTAACATAATAAATCGGTTGAATAACTCTTATTATCTCAAATGGCATGTTTATGAAAAAAACACGTGAAGAGAATGAGAAAATCAAGCAATACATGCAAATATATATAACAAGCTTCTAAGAATAAAATTTTAAGAATGGTATGGCATTACAAGTATATAGTTGTAACACTCATTTTCAAGCAACAATGTTTACATGAAGGTTCTTGAGATGCAAAGTATTTCCTCTGTTAAATGATAGAGTGGTTGTGTAGCATTGATTAATGGCTTCATGAGCTTCGAATACATCCTATGCATGGTTCCCTTCAAATCTTAATGAGTTTTAGCATAAATAATGTTATGTCTCTTATTGCATAGGTGTTTGGAGTTATTTCTCCTTTTTTTGTAAAAATTCATGTGTATTAAATGCGTGTAATTTAAAAATATTTAATAAAAGTTTCTAAATTTACAAGGAAAAAAAACATAGTAAAAGAATTTTTTTTTTAAATATTAATAAATAATATACATTAGCACTCTAAATAGTCTATTAATTTGCTAAGAAAATTTCACAATAATTATTCATAAGGACACCTTTCACAACTCAGTTCGGATACTCAAATTAATGAGGTGGAAACGGACGATCGGATAGTTATTCTATTTCGGTTCAAATTTGAGGAATAAAATATATAAAATTTTATTCCTTGATAGAAAGCAATAATATGTAATTTTTAAAAGGAAGAAATCAAGTTGGTGGAAGTTCAATTCAACTAAAAGAAGCAGATTTGAGGTAAAAGATGCAAGTTATGTATAATTGAAATTTTCAACATATTTTTGGAAATTCTATGTGCAATGTGATTAGGAAAATAGTTGTTAAATTAGAGGGATTTGACATTTAGTAATGCTTTGATGATTCCTTCAAATTTTGGCTAATAATAATTAATGCTAATTAATGTTATTTTGGAATAGAGGCGGAATTAAATACCTGAATTGAAACGAGTATTGGGAGTCAATTTCAAAGAATTGAAGACTTGGAAGGATTTGAACACACGAAAGAAAATTAAAGTGAGTAATTATTATTATTTTATAGCCATTATATGATTCTATTTTATAACATACTATCTCCTGGCTATTTATTTCTTGCCTAATCGAACTTCCACCAACTTGATTTCTTTCTTTTAAAAACCACACACTGTTGCTTTCCATCAAAGAATAAAATATAATATATTTTATTTCTCATATTTGAATTGACAAAGAATAGGAAATTGAAATCGCTTACAAAGAAGAAATTTCCAACACAAATTCTTCCTCTTTCTTTCCCAAATTTCTTCCTTTGTGCTCAATTGAAACATAGGCCCCTTTCTTAGGTTTAAATCACAAAAGAATTTTCGATAAAATGAGGAAATTGTACCAACTTATCTTCCTTCTCCTCCTTCCTCTTGGCACGATTTCCTCTCAGCACAGAGCTTCTCATGCCTTTTGCTTTTTTTGGAATGAGAGAAACAGAGATATCTCCCATAAAGACTCGTTACTTTTTACTCCCACAAGTTTTTGTTCACTAGATCATGCGATCTGACCAGTCTAGGCACCCGATCGGGTCGCTCGCTTGCGTCTGCTGCTAGCCAGCAGTTCGGTTTCTTGCCCACCTGCTTCAACACTAGGGTCTGGTTCGGGTGAACCGAACTAGCCGGTTCTCACAACACCAACTATACAAATCTTCTAATAAATGTTAAGATTAATCATAATTATGATAAAATTTACCGTCTAATTTTAATTAATCGATTGTTTTTCAAAAGAGTGCGCATTTTAGATATCTCGGGTCTATTGTTCAAAACTATTGTGAAACTGATGGGGATATTATTAATAGATTTCTTATTTGATGGTTTAAGCGGAGGAATGCATAAGGCATGTTGTGTGATAGAAAAATATCTCTCAAACTTAACGAAAAATTTTATAATATGGTGGTGTGAACTGCAATGCTTTATGGTGCAGAATGTTGGCCATTGAAAGAAAAGAATAAATTTTAGTGTTGTAGAGGTGAGGACGCTCAGGTAATAGATAAATATAGTGCAATGCTTTATGGTGCAGAATAAATTGAACTGCAATGCTTTATGGTGCAGAATAAATTGGTTTAATTTTAAAAATTCTGATAATTGGGAATTATATAAAGTGGCAACTGCAATGCTTTATGGTGCAGAATGTTGGCCATTGAAAGAAAAGAATAAATTTTAGTGTTGTAGAGGTGAGGACGCTCAGGTGGACGAGTGGCTTTTCACTAAGAGTTAGAATGCAAAATGAGCATATATGTAAAAATGGAGTAGCTCCAGTGATAGATAAGACTAGAGAGAGTTGCTTTAGATGGTCTGGTGACATAAAATGTGAGTAAATGTATTAGATCCAGTTTATGTTAAGAAAGGTAGAGGTCCTAAAAATACTTGGTTAGAAAGTTTTAAAAGTAACTTTTTTTATTAGATTTAAATGAGAATTTGACTCTTAATAGGATAAAATGGAGAAAAAAGATTTATGTGGTCGACCCTTGGTTTGTCTTCAAAAGAATTTCTAATTGACATCCCGATCGGTCATTTGTAGCTCCCTTAGGTGGTGGATCTTAGAATTATTGGATGGATATCTTTAAGAACTTATTGCCTTGAGAATTTTTTGGATTGTTGCAATTGATAGTGACCTTGTTGTTTGTGTTGGAATATGTCTGTGTGGCATAATTTTGCGGGCTTGTAGCATTTCCTGCATTCTACGAGTTCTTATGAATTTTGTGGGAATTATGAGAGACTTAATTCATATCAGCATGAACATTTAAAATAGAAGGAAGATTAACATTCAAAACACATAAAAAATTTAATATGTTCACCCAATTGATAGCTATGTTCATTATTGTTTTGGAGAATTAACTATGATGGTGGAGTTTTACAACAATATGTCAGACATATCACATAATGATGGTGCCCATTTCATTTATAATGAAAAAAAAAACACTAAATCCCCAAAGCACATTTTATGAAGTAACTCACAAATATTAAATGAGGTTGATTCACAATTGAGTTCGTAATGACATTTCATCTTAGGGCATTAATGAAGCTCTTAACAACTTTCAAGCTAGTCATTAGCTTCTATTCTCTCTATTTTATGTATCCTTGCTAGTCTTGTAATTTTGATGCAGATTGTTGGCTTCAATTTCCTATTGTCTTATATTAAGAATAAGGATATGGCTGTGTATGAGTCTTTGTGTTGTGCTTCTCTGACTTATCTAATTGTTTGGATGACTTTTGAATATGTTGCTCTGATGTTGGACCTCTAGCTATTATTTTCTATTTTTTATTAGAAATTTAGAGATTTTGTGATTACTAATGGGTTATGATGACCAATGTATTCTATGGTTATTTATTTCAATTCAACCTGCTAATATTATGTTTCGTGTTTCTTTATATTTTATGTTGTTTCTTTTTGTTTCTTCCCCGTGGCACTTCCATTCTCCTCTGTCACTACATCTTTTTGGATTTATATTTATTTTGCTCTCTCTTCAACTCTATCGTGGAAGATGACTTTGGGGCCTCTACATCACCATTTCGCTGGAATAGTTGTGGAGCACTCAAAAAAATGATTGGGAAGAGAGCTTGAAGCATCGAGAAGAAATCAGTTAACCATTTGATCCGCCATTACTCTCTTGAGGCAGTAATGGATAGAGATATGTGGAGAAGCAGTAAATAGTGGTGGAGGCTGATCTTTAATGAGATGATGGGTTTCGTTGTTTGAGATGCTAGCTCTTGATAGGTTCATGGTTGATTGAACTTTTTATTGAGAAAGAAGGGGGGAGAGATGATGGCTGGGAGAAGATTCAGTATTGCGGGACCAAGAAAGAAGATTGAGGAATTATTAGATTGCCTGGTGCAAAAATCTGCTTAATTGATTATGGGTCAGATTATATTTAATTGTTAATCTCAATATTAGTTTGATGTGCACATGATTTGAATGGCTAAGATTAAAGTTTGACTGGGCTGAATGGGTAGGATTTTCTCAGTTGGAGTTTCAAGCGTTTTGTAAATAGTTGTGTAGAGCTGTAGATATGACGAATAGGAATTTATCAAAGATAAGTACGGGATGTTTCTTCAGCTAATTATTTGGGTCATAGTTGATTGCTTCCGGTATGCTGGGCTAACAAAGCTGCAACCAGCTTTTTTTAATTTTTTTTTTTTTAATGAAAAGTGCTTTATGAATCTTCTATTTTTTTTAATTCCTTTTATTATAACAGAAGAAAGGTAAGTGGCTTATAGTCAAGCAATAAGAATATAGAAGTCTGTTCATGGTAATTGGTTCAGCCCCTAATGTAAATGAGGTTTTTATGTGCTGTTAGTTCTATGGCATGTAGTAGTGGCGTAAAGGTTCTAATCATGAAGTGATGGCACATGTTATTAAAATGTTTTGCTTTTATATATTTTTTGTATGATCACGTTTTTTTTTCCTCATATTTTTAGATATCTTCATCTTGCTTTCACTTCTTGGTTTTGTATTCTAATTCTGTAGTAGATTCTAAATTCTAACGATCAGAAAAATGTCATATCCTATACTTTAGCTTAATAAAATCACATTGATATATTTATTCTTTGATGTATTTCCATTATCCTAAAAAAAGATAAAAAAAATAAAAAATAAAAAAAATATAAAAAAAAAATTATCCGAAAAAAAGATGCCCCTGGTCTACTCACGGACACACAAACCCTCCATGTACAGCAGTAAAAGCTACCATTAATTTTTTTTTTTTTTTGTAGTTTCACTCGTTTTGCTTGAGGTTTCATAAACTTCGGATTTGTTGGTATTGCAGATAAGAGAACAGGAATTCGATTTGGACATTTGGAGGCAGTCTCTTAATTCTCTTTCATGGACAGAAATTTTGCGACAAGTGTCGCTTGCAGCAGGGTTTGGTGCAAAACACAATTCTGCAAGTAGAGACATTTTTAGCAAGGTATTGACATATCTTTTGATTTTTGTTTGATTTTTTCCATTTTCTACAAAATCCAAAGCCACAATGGTTTCTCTTTGTTGGCCCTTTTTAGGAACTGGTATATTTTTACCACACGATAGTTAGTTTTCTCTTTTATTTGGCTCATGTCTTTAATGCTTTCTTTGTTATTGCGATTTTAAAATATACACAAGAATAATATTTGAAGGGAACTATATTAATGTTATAAATATGTTAAAATATTTGGGAATTTGAAAATTCTCTTTTATATACATATTGGATCATAAAAAATTACATAATCTAATTTACGGGATGTAAAATTAAGCTCATAAGATTTATCATGAGATGCAAAATGTTATGAATCCAATCTTCAATGATTTTGAAGACGGTAATGAGCGATTGATTGGAGAGGTGGGTGCTAATATTTCAAATTTTGAAGATAAGTTGATGCTTGATAAATAATATTTAACACAGGATGATGTAGAAAATGCTCAGGAGTTGCAGAAAAAAAGGAGCTCACTGAGAAGCATATAAATTAAAATATAGGTAAGAGGTTCGAATTCCTGTACATTATATTTTGATGATGATGAGGATGATACTAGGAAAAAAGAAGAGAAGTTTGAGGTCTACAAATCTAGTGATGACTAAGAGTTTTGGTTTTTATCATTTTAGTATGATTTAATGATAAAATTCTTCCCCTTTGTTTGAGTTCTCATAAGAGCTTGAGAGATTGGAGCGAGGCCCCTTGGAGAGAGAATTTGGATCACCCACCAACCTTAGAGACGGTCGGATTCGTGGTTCTTCTTCTTTATCTATTTTCCTTTTCTTTCATCACCTAATCGCCGGCCACCTATGTCCACCTCACCCCAAGCCGCCGGCCTTCATAATCCCCACCATCCCTCCACCGAAAACTCCCCACAACCCACCTAGCCGCCGGCCCTACCTCACCTCCCCATCTTCCCTCCACAAATTATACCCCCTCTTGAATACTTTCCATAAACAATCATTCTTAAGTTAGGAAGGTTTAAATTCAAAATTCAAAATTTATTTGAATTTGAATTCTTTCCTAATTTAAGAGAGCTATTTTAGGAAAGTTTCATAAATTAAATGCTATTTGAATTTCAAATTAATTGGGATTTAATTACAACTTTCCTAATTTCTAAATCCTAAAATAGCAATCCAAATCTCTCTCATAAATCCCCTCCTAGCCCAATAATGCCGCCGGCCCCCACCCTCATTAAATCCCTTAGGATTTATTTCCAATCCCCTCACCCTCTCTTGGAAACCTTTCCTACTTCCCCCTCCCCCTCTTTGGCCGAAATTTTCACAAGCCCTTCTATTTAATTTCTTTCCAATAGAAAGCATCTCCAATTGGAAATAAATTAATCCCCTCCCCTCTCTCATACCTGTCGCCCTTACTCTCCCTCTCTCCTCTTTAATTATCTCCACTCATAGGGATTAATTAGAGGATTGATTGAAACAATTTCCCTCCACTATAATTTCCCAAAATCTGAACCTAATTTCCCCAAACCTCTTCCCCTTGGCTGGCCACCTCTCTTTCCTTCTCCTACTTGGATTCTTGAGAGAGATCCCTCTCTTTCAAAGGGGAAACGACAAGGACAACAAAGGGGCATTTCCTTCAATGCTTCGACGTAACGAGATCGATGCATGGCCGATCCCGATCTTGATCACGGCCTTGCCTACGACGAGCAAGGTTTCTTGCACATCCTTCACTCGACTTTCTTCGACGTCAATCCAAATATTGACAACACCATCGAGGAATACGTGGAGCGCATTGTAGATACTCTCGTGGAAGCCATAGAGGAGCAACTTGGTACCGTTCAGTGTATAGGATTACTTCCAAACCATGACAAAGGTTTTCCAAACTTCCTACTCTCGTATCGTCGTAGTTTAACTAACTCTTGTGATTTGATTTGAGTCATGAAGGTCTTGTTCACTTGCCACTACCAAGCCTAGTAATCGTAGGAATTGAGTTTAGCATCTATGCTTATAATCTCATTGTTAGCGTAAGAATCTTGTTTGAAAGCTACTTAATTTGCATGTTATTGATATTCTATGTTATTTTGATAAATCAAGCATTTGGCAAGCGGCTTAGCCTAAACGTAGGCACCCCTCTCTTGTTTTCTTTTGTTGTTTTGGATTGCTAAAAGTTTTAATTTTACTTGTTTTATTTAAGAGGTCATGCAAATTCTTAACGCATGCAATTGAAACATTTTAGTTCTGCATCATTTTATTTTGGTACTGATTCAAACAGTTGCCTGAATTGATGGACTTTTCTGAAATAGTTACTTCTATACTATGTTCATGCAGTTGTTTAGTCAACTATAATGGTACAGTCGAAGAACTAAATACATTATAGATGAATCATAATGGATTTGAATGCTTTCTGAACTTGCGTGTATCCCCTACCTTCCAAAACAATAAAAATAATCACAGAAAAAGGGAGGATTGAAGGGACTTGTTGATGGTGGATTGATGTTTCCCATTTGGCCTAAATACTAGTAGCAAGCTGAAGTGGGATGAACAAGTTTATTGAATGGAATGAATGTTAGTATTAAAATAATATCTTACTGGTTTTTTCATTAACCTATTATAGCATGTGATTATTTGCAATCAATCTAATTATATATTTATATTTATTTATGCTGATTCTTCATTTTTGGCTTCTCCATGAGCTGATTGTCGGTACTTCTGCATTTAATTCGTAGTTGTGAGTTAGGATTGCATTTCGTTGATGGGACTGGATTTGCAACTGTTGATTTGAAATTTTTTTTTAACATCGCTAATAATATTGATTTTAAATTCTTATTCCTGGTACATAACTCATTTATGTACTTCAAATCATGCATTGCAAGGGTTGATAAAAAATATTAGAAAAGGATTGTTGTATTGTAAGGCCTTGGCTATAGTTAAAGTGTTTAAAGGTTGAGCAAATAAAGTTATATAAAGAAATGTTAGTTAAAATTATATATATATATATAATATTATAAAATAGTTATCATGTATCATGTTTAATGTTATATTTAAGTTTTAATTAAAATAATCATATATAAATTACATCACATGTCATATTAAAATTAGAGATAGTGACATGTATGATGTGATAGTTAAATATTAATTAAAATAATTCTATTTAATTTGCATTATTTTTCATATCTAAATGTTAAGGTATTGACATGATGCAATGACTAGCTTTTAAAAGTGTTTGAGCTCAATTTCGAAGTTGCTCTGTGTTGCTCGGATATTATGCCAAGTGTCATCCCCAGTTTCAATATACACTACTTTAGTATATTTAAAGATTCTGGTTTAATTGGTTTTTATTTTTTCACTTTCTAAGTATAGAATTGTTGAATGACCCTTGATAATTGTGTTAACTTGTCAACATAGACATCATTTGGTCACAATGGTTGAATGGCCCTTATTGTCATTGTAGGAAAGAAATCAGATGGCAAACTATGGTCTGCGTCCTTGTACCCTGAAAGGTGAATTGTTCCAAATCTTATTGAAACAAGGCAGCCTTGGTTTGAAAGTTGCTGAGCTAGTAAAAATTCCTCAGGTACAGTTCTGATGATTATCATGTTTATTCTTAGATATGAATTGTATGTTTTTCTTGTATTGGGGCCAGTTTTAGAATTTGATTTGAACCTGCAGATTGTCACATTGGACCTACCAAGCACAACAGAAGAGCAGGAAGAACTAATAAAATCCACTCTTTCAAGTGACATTACATTGTTTGAAAAAATTGGGCCTGCAGCATATCGTCTTCGTTGTAATCATCAAATGAAAGGTAAAAATGGTAACCAATCTGAGGATGATGACTCAGGAAGTGTAGAGGATGAGTATAGTGATGCCTATAGAAATGGAAGTTCTGATGATTCTGAGGGGGAGAGCTCAATGGCTTGTGGACAAAGGATTATCAAATACAAGAGAATGCATGTAAGAGCACAGCAAAAGTTGATTGAGTGTTCTGAGATTGATGAAAGCTATACAGGGGAAGCATGGGTTCAAGGTTTGGTGGAAGGTGACTATTCAAATCTGAGTACTGGGGAGAAGCTGGATGCTTTGGTTGCTCTTGTAGATCTTATTGGTTCTTGTTCCAGTGTAAGACCTGTTGTAAGAAATATTCTTCCATTTTTTTTTAATAATGCTTATCTACGTATCAAAGTTGGAGATCATAATTTTGGCAGATTTTTCCAGGCTACTTTTATTGCCATTCAGTATTATTTTTCATTGAGGCTTTCACGGTGGTTATCAGTTATTGTTAATTGTATTTTATGCTTTTTCATTATTTAGCAATCAGCACCAATACAAGTGTTGTTTTTTTTTTCTTTTGCTTCAGAAAAAAACTTCATCTTCACATGATTGAATGTATAGGAAGGAAAATCTATATTCTTTCTAGAAATAGGTTCACAGTTATAAGACTTCAGAACATTGTCATCTTCTGGCATATGACATCTATTGGTAATGATAACGCCATTTGGACTACAATGACGAATGGCTAATCAATATTTTTCATTGACAAGTTTTTCAATGAGAGGGTTTGGTATAATGTGTCCTTTGCATGAGACCTTTCTTCAAGGTATTTTCTAGCACATTAAAACTTTAGCAAGTGGATCACATTTTATTATGAGTGTGTTTTGGTAGAGTTAGTATTGCATATTGGAAGCTGGTAAGATTTTTAATTTTGCATTTTTTAGCTGAGATTGTTTTACCTTTTTCATCCATTGTGTACAGATCTTTTTTGAAGTTGTTATATTACCTTTTTTTTTTTTCTCTTGAACTAGTGTAGATCATAAGCCTAAATGTGCTTTTATTACTGTGTAGGATCTAGGAGGGCCCATGTCTGCACTTACTCCCTCTGTTCATTATCTTGGACCAGGAGCAAAAATAAAGAGGCAACCATCTAAAATTAATCCAACTTCTAGCAATATCTGGGAGGTACCTGCAGATAGCGTGGTAGAGAGGCATATGCTGAGAAATTTGTCTCGGAGTGGTTCTTCTAGATCCTCTTCAACGGTTTCTAAGAAGGGGCATTCTTCTGGCAGAACTGAAGCCATGCTACCTGATGTACATCCTCTGAAATCTATTCATTTGGGATCTGATCGCAGGTATAATAATTACTGGCTTTTTCTTGGCCCTTGTGATGCAACTGATCCAGGTCATCGGCGCATTTATTTTGAGTCTTCAGAAGATGGCCATTGGCAAGTGATTGAAACAACACAGGTTTGTGCAATTCTTTTCTATAGGCTATCATAATAGTGCTTCACATTTTTCTCCTTTCCTGGTTGGTTATATAATTTTTTTATTATCCTTGACTCCAAGTATTGAACTTAATTGCAGGCTTTGCGTGATCTATTATTAGCCTTGGACCGCAGGGGAACAAGGGAAGCTCATCTATTTGCCTCTTTAGTGAAGCGAGAAGCATTTCTATGTAAAGCTATGGATGATTTCCTTGCTGCTGAGTACAGAAGCAGACAAACAAAAGGATCTGATCTATCTGAACTTGATAACAGTGGAGATGGTTCTTCTCCTAATTCAGATATTGATAACATCTTGGTATCTGCACATTCATACGAAAGCTACGCACCAGCATCTTCTGTAGTTCTTGAATGTGGGAGTAGCACTAAGGAAAAGAAGCAAAAATGGGACCGTTTACAAGAATATGATAGATGGATATGGGGTTCTTTCTATTCCAGTCTTAATGCTGTGAAAAACTACAATAGACCGTACATGGAATCTTTAACTCATTGTGCGAGTTGTCATGACTTGTACTGGAGGGATGAGAAACATTGTAAAGTTTGTCATTCTACCTTTGAAATAAACATTGATCTGGAAGAAAGATATGCCATTCATGTAGCGACCTGTAGGGAAACAGATAACAACAGGGATTTTCCAAAGCATAAGGTTCTGCCTTCTCAGTTGCAGGCGCTGAAAGCAGCAATTCATTCAATTGAGGTATGATTATGTGCTTATTTTCAGATAATCTTCAGATATTTACTCTCTCCTATTAGGATCCATTTATTATAATTATTCTATAGCCCACTTCTTTCAAACTTGATTGAGATAAATTTTGATGATTTACTGCAGGGAAGCATGCCTCCGGTAGCCTTTTCTGGGGGATGGAAATGTTCAGCTCACAAGCTTTGGGAGAAGAGACTACGTCGTACCTCCTCTTTGCTTGAACTTATACAGGTTATCTTACTTTTCCTGAAGCTTCCATCTCTTGTTTATACCATTTCTTTCTACGTGTCAAAGTTCTTATGAACTGTTCTGTTTTCTTCTTTACCTGGCAGGTGGTTTCTGATTTTGTCAGTGCAATAAATGAGGAATGGCTGTATCAGAATCCATTATCTTTATCTTCTACTGCATCATTGGATGAAGTCATTATATATTTTCAGACTATGCCAAAAACAACATCTGCAGTTGCGCTTTGGATGGTTAAATTGGATAGGCTGGTTGCTCCTTATCTGGAAAAGCTTAAATCTGATAGAAACCTACCAAACAGAAGAACTCAATTGAAGGGTATATATGCATTTTCTATCTGCTTATAGTTTTCACCATATAGGATTTCAACTGTGTGATTGGTTCTAGTGTTCTATTTAGGATTCGATTATATTAATCACTGCAGTTGTTATGAAATTAACTGTTTTTGAGATCTGCACGTCTTTATAATTTCTTATTATATACACCCTTTGCTTTTGACTCACACATAAAATTTCACTTTGTGGATTTCAGAAGATTGAAACGTTTACGTAGGCTGCCAACTGTTCTAGAATCAATCTTCCTTGATCAAATGCACCAGACCTACGAAATTACCGTCAAAACTTTCTTGTTTTTCCCGGATTTATTGATTAAATGATAATTGATGATTTATTTATTGAAAATGTAGGCGTTTTTTTGGTCTGTTTGTAGTTGTCACCATTTTTATTGAAAAGTGTGGCTCATTTATATCTACCCTGTTTCATATTACTGATCAGTTTTGGCTATGTAATTGGCTTTAGTGTTACAAAAATCTCCATGATCTTCAGGGAAATAACACATTCACCGGATAATAATTATCAATCAAAATCAAATAGCGAGATACCTGGCAGAGTTTCTGGGCTCCAATTCATGTTGATTCTGATCTTGGCATGTTGTGGACTTGTATATTTCAGTTCAGTTACTGCTCACACGGTAACTGTTCTTATGAGCTTTTTCCAGTTCAACAGATGGGCATATATCTGTACAGCTTATTGCTTCGGCTTCCAAATCAGCTTTAGAAATCTTTTTGGCCGGATTGCGAGTAGTTCAAGCCTGGATTTTTTTTCCCTCCATTTACTTATGAAATGCAAGGCTTGCACAACAGTTATAGCCAATATTTGTCAGCTCAGTCTCCGAAAATCCCACATTTTTTTTTGTTTTTCATTCCCAAATTTTGTTCTAAAACACTTTTCTAAAATGTTATGATCGTCCAGCATTTTTATAAAGCTTACAGAGAGCTTTTTTGTTTAATTGAATTGAGAAACTTTGAACCGTTGGTAAATAAATCGTGAAAAGTTGTTATGAAATGCGAATTACTTTGCCTGTGCAGCATTTGCCTTTATCAATCTTTCAGGATTGTGCTCCAACCAGATCTATTTTTTGGTGACTATTTCTCCTACCCACAGCTATTCCAGTGGGCATTTAAGATATTCAATCATCTAAAGTAGACTTCTTTTGAGGCATAATTCATTGTTGTTGGTTTTAATGATTTCAAGGGTTCGTTTGGAACAACTTTCTTATTGCTTCTTAAAATAGCTTTCTAGTATAAAAATTGATTAAAAAGTTGTTTTAAGAAGCAGTAAGAAAACCGTCTCAAACGAAGCCTAAATTGCTGGCAAAGTAGAGCAAGTTTGTTAGGTCATAATGGTGGATATTATATCAGCGGAAAATGATATAGAATGGTTGAATAGAATAAGATTTGTTTAGTGTTCAATGAAGATTTCATTGAACATATGATCTAAATTTTCATCAACCAACCTTGCTCTAGTAGTTTGAATAATCAACCTTTCTCATATTATTATTGCATTGATCGAAACAACTTATATCTTGATCGAACAATCTTCAACATTTGGTTGAAACTTCTTTGACTATCGTTCAACCCTAATTTAAAAAATACAAATAATCTTCGAAGAATGCTTGATTGTATGACGAACATCTTTCGATTCGATCAAGTTTAGAATAAGTTTGGGGTGATATTCGAAACTGTTAATCTTATACTAAAACCATTCTAGGTTTAGGATTTAGAGTGTAAATATATACATTGTTCTTTCCTAGGAGTATGGCATCACTAACTTTTAATGACAACCCTCAACAAGGAGAAATTATTAGGTGCGGAGTGCAGACGGGTAGAACTGTCCGCACACTAGTATAAAATCCAGTTAGGTACCATTCGGTACTGCTGGGTACCACTAGGTACTGCTTGGTACCTTGTGTGTGTGCAGATGGTGCTCCCCCGTCTGCACTCTGCACCTAATATTTTTTCCTCAACAAGACAGAATTGGAGATGGAAACCTTGCATTGAAATTTTACCTTTGAACTACTAAACAGGAAGAAAAAGTGCCAGAGAAGAAGACGTTGAGAATACGAGGGATTGATCAATTTCTTGTGCAAAAAGTTGGTTATATAATCAAAGTGTCTTTTATTATTTTTGGAGTATTTTGATCTAAACGAAAATTTAAGTCATATTTCCTTAATAAATAAAATGTAGAGCCTATTTCTTCAAATTTGAATAGAGGTGGAACCAATTTTAATTTTCAGAGGGGCAAGCATATAAGTAATTGTCGAAGGTCCAAGGGGCAACTCCCCCTAGCGGGCTTCCCAGTCAGATTGCGGGGGGGGGGGGGGGGGGGGGGGGGGGGGGGGGGGGGGGGGGGGGGGGGGGGGGGGGTTCTTGGGAGCAGGATATTTTTTAAATTCAAATTAACAAATAAAATGATGAGTTTTTTTTATTATTTACTGGGGGTAATTGCTTAAAGATCATAATATTTTAAAACTTTTTTTTTTTGGAGGTAGAAATTGCTTAAAAATCTTGTAATAAAAACTAAAAAATAGATGGAGGGGATAAATTATTCAAAAATCATATAATAATTTTTTTTAAGAGAGGGCGGGGGATCCGCCCTTGATTTTGAATATTTTGAGGGAACCTTGTAATAAAGACTAAAAAGTAGATGGAGGGGGAGATGAAGTCATATAATAAAATTTTTTAAGAGAGGGTGAGGGATCCGCCCCTGATTTTGAATATTAACAAGTCTCAAACTTTACTAACAAGTTCATTCCTATGTGAAGAAACTTAGATGCTGATCTCACGAAGATTGTAACCATAATAAATAAAAAAAAATTAAAATAATTGATATATTTCCTCTCCTTAAAAATTAGAAAATATATGATTATTATGGAGGTATCTTATTCCTCCATAAATTATAGAGTATTAGTTTAGTTGCACGGTGCTCCTAATGCACGTTATAATTTTTAAAATAATAAAAATGCACATTATTAGGATTTTAAAATTTAATCAAATTTGATAAGAATTTAAAATTAATAAGTAATATATTATATTTAAATTCATGGAATATATATATATATATAATAGAAATGAAAATAATTTTCAGGATTCATAAGCGTTTTAGCATTGTAGTTTCCGGTGGGGACTGGGGAGTAGGGAAAGATGAACTTAACACTGCCATGGCCATTTGGGCGAGGGGCGAAGCTCGAGAAGCCGCGCAAGGACGAGGAGGACGTGGCCCAGCTCGAGGAGTTGGGTGTGACGCCGCAGCTCCTCGATTTCGTGAAGGATTTCACCCTAGATACCTTCAGAAATTTCCCTCTTAAAGGTCCGCACTATCACAACGACTGCTCTCCAATTTTATCATTACTTCATTCCTCGGAAGATCTAACTAAGATGCCGAGGAGGCAATGGCGCTTTTCTCTGCTTCTTCAGATGATCCAACGGCGGATGGTGATGTCGATACTTCGTCGGGGAGCAGGCTGAGTAAGGATCTTAGCGAGTGGCAGGAGCGCCATGCCATGCTTCTTCTCGGCAAAACCAAGGTGCGGCATGTTTTGTTTAAAAGCTGAATATTTCTTCTTCTTGAATGTTCTAGGTTTTAAGGAAGCAGTAGTAGAATGAATGGTCCTAGCAATCGATTGAAATTTTTTTTGTATCATAAGCATGAGTATTTCATTTTATGTATTTATGCTTGTCTTTCTTTTTAGATTATGTATTGTTATAGACATGATAGTTTCATTTTTCAATCTAGTTTCTTTCTTTGCCATGATGTTCTGATTTTGAATCTAATTGTCTTTTCTTAACCTTTATGCTTGTTAAAGGCAGAAAATCTTTTATTATAGTTATGCGACATTGTGCTTATTTTAGTTTTAGGTTTTTTTTTTCCTCTTGCATTGAATATCTTATATATAATTTATTATGATTTGCACATTTTCTAAAATACCACATGCGAATCATGCATCATGCACTATTGTTCAAGGTGATTTCATGCACCAGTGTGTTACTTTTTTTTAACAAATATGTGTTCATCATGATTATTAGATCTATTAAAGGTTAGAAGCTCTGATGTCAAGGTTAAAATCTCTAGGGAAAAAAAAACTTTAAACGAATTTTTTGAATTTGATTTAGGGATGAAATTGATTCTCTTTGATGGTCTATACAATATCTAGTCTAAGAGACCAATTGGGTAAAACCTATTATTCATTATCATGCTCATTACCGGGAGTAGAATTTATCATAATTTATTTTCTAATGATGATTTTACTTACGAATCAATTGATAGATGTCTTCTACAAGATCTCAAGGATACAAAGGCTCTAGCCTACCTTAGTGTACTCAGTTTTGATGATAGTATTGACAATAAATTGGATCTTTGTTTTTTAAATAAAACCAGCAATAGCTCTAGTGTCACCAAAGGTCAATCTAATAGCCTGGTTTTTATGTAAGTTAATTGTGATAAACATCTTAGACCCCTTCGCATAAGAAATTGGTACAAAAGATATTGAAGGCTAGGATCGTCTTTATGAGGAGTAGACGTGTTTAGAAGGAATGGATGATATGTGCTTGTATGGATGTGTGTGTGTTTATTTGTTTGTTTATGTCATTTGCATAACTCAAGTGTTATTAGGCTATTGAATGTATAGGTTGTCTATCATTAATAACCTTCTTAGGCTTTAGAATGAGTTGATGAATATGATTATTGCATTATTGCTGCTTTGAAAGGTTTGTCTACCTTGTATTTCCTTCTCAAGTCTTGTTCTCTACTCTCCCTTTTTTAGGTATGATGCCCCTCTCTCATATCTGAATTTTCCTCACCTTCCCATTTATATTTGTGAATTCTAATCTCCTAGTCTTTGCTTCCCGAACCATTTAAGCTGATCTTTAGACTGATTGATTTCCAGGTTGGTGATCGAAGAAATTTAATTTACCCAAAAACCTAGAATAACTTTATTATGTTCTCTTCCACAACTTAGATCTTCACTCCCTACTTTTTCTTAGTTTTTATTGTCCCCTTGTGTACCATCTCTCTCTCTAACATTATATGCCCATCTCCTCTCATCATTTTTGGTCTCCTTTAGTCCATTCCCCTCTAGATCTTTCACTCTCTCTCTCTAAATCAAAGGGTAGATTAAAAGGTTCATGAGGTCTGTTTTGTAATATTGTTGTGTTGTAATCTTATCAAAATCACATTCTGTTTACTCTTATTTTGGTGGTGTTGAGTGTAGGATTCAGAATCATTGAACGTGTCAATTTCAGCTTCACAGAAATGCCTATTCTAGTGATGCTTTTCAATCTGTTTATTTTTCAATAACTCAGTATATCAAAATTTTGCTTTTGTGTGAGAATGCTGATACAAAGCCTTTCAGCACATCTACCTTGATCATGGCTTCGCAATTAATTTACCCAAAAACCTAGAATAACTTTATTATGTTCTCTTCCACAACTTAGATCTTCACTCCCTACTTTTTCTTAGTTTTTATTGTCCCCTTGTGTACCATCTCTCTCTCTAACATTATATGCCCATCTCCTCTCATCATTTTTGGTCTCCTTTAGTCCATTCCCCTCTAGATCTTTCACTCTCTCTCTCTAAATCAAAGGGTAGATTAAAAGGTTCATGAGGTCTGTTTTGTAATATTGTTGTGTTGTAATCTTATCAAAATCACATTCTGTTTACTCTTATTTTGGTGGTGTTGAGTGTAGGATTCACTCTCATTGAACGTGTCAATTTCAGCTTCACAGAAATGCCTAGTTTAGTGATGCTTTTCAATCTGTTTATTTTTCAATAACTCAGTATATCAAAATTTTGCTTTTGTCTTGGAATGCTGATACAAAGCCTTTCAGCACATCTACCTTGATTATGGCTTCACGATGTTAGGCAATACACTACAGTGAACTTATTCATTTTTTTGAGTTGCAGACCAAACAACTAAATGCAATGACTGCTTAGTATTATCAAATGAAGCCTAAATGTCCCTGGTAAATTTGAGTAGGAACCTACCGATTGAACACCCCTGAGCGTGCCTTCCCTTGTCCTAAATAGCTAGCCTGACATACTGAAACAAGATCTTTACCCATATAGTATATCTGAATGGGAAGATAGGTTGGTTGTATGCCATGTGAGCCTCTGATATTGTTTCATTATTTTGCACAAGTATTTTTTTATGGCTTTGCTGCTGAAAATAAACTTACATTTTCGCCACGAACAATATATTAAAGCTGGTTGATTGCACAAAAGCCTTCATGATTAATGTTAATATTTCTATTCAGCAACTCTATCCATGGTTTGGCTTTCAAAACAATTGTCTGCAGATTTATAAGGGCCTTTGACAATGAATCTCTTTTGTGACAAACTTGTGCAGGAAATTTCACAGATCAGATATGCTTTATGTCCACGTTTTTTAAAGGAGAAACAATTTTGGAGAATATACTTTCTCCTAGTAAAGAATTATGTTGCTCCGTAAGTTCTTTTTCTCTGAGTTTTTCTTTAGGTACTGATTGCCTGTATTATATCCAGTAAGAAGGATCTCTAATTAAGTTTGTGCTTGTTTGTGGTATTTCTCATTTATTTCTATTGTTTTCATTTTCCATATCGTTTATTTGAGAAAATAAAACCCATCAGTAATCATCTTTAGTATCCTATGCTATACAAATCATATGCCCTGCCTTGCAGGAAAGGGACGAGTAATGAAAACGTGGAAGGATTAGTTTGTTAAAATAATTTATGTCGTCCCACAATCATAAAAATTGATATTTTATAAATGTTTTTGTTAATATATAACTAAATCTTCACGTTGTAGCTACTTATTTGAGGTTTTCTGGTACATAAGTACATTTTTACATCTTTTCAGCACCTCATTAATGAGATATTTATTAAATTAAATGTTGGCATTTTGTTAAAAGTACATACAACTTTTGATGGCTTAGTTTCTGCAGGGAAAACTTCATATGGCATATGCTACCCAAGCTTTGTACGTGGCTATGCTAATATACATATTGATCATTTTTTTGCAAAAATTTTCAGGAATTTTGCAATAAATATTTTTCAAAATTTCTTGTGTACTGTATGGTGTTAGGTTTCTTGTAAAGACGTCAACGCATGGATTCAAAAACTGTGCAAAATGGGCTTCAACCTTTTCAATTTATAGGCATTATACTTTTTGCTGTGTCTTTATCTTTGCTTTTTTTTTTAATCTGTTATTATGCTGCAACCAATTCTGCATTACACATATACAGTCTCTGAATGCAATTTTAGATAAATACTGAATAGATATCGTGTCTTTGCAAATTAAAATATCTGGGTTGAAGTAATCCTAAGACCATTCCCTGCTCAAATTCTTGCTTTGTATTTTTCATTGGTTACAAAATTTAATTTTATGATTAATAAAGCTGATGATTACATAAGTATTGTCTCCATGACTGGGAGCTGGGTTATGTTAGTTATATCCTTTGAATTTGTGTGCATCGTTGACGAAATATGTATATGGTTCAGGTTGTAGCCTGTCTTAAGAAAGGCTACTTGGGCTATTAATCTTCCAAATTTGTAGACAGAGGGATGACAGAAGTGAGAATCATTGGAAATATAATTTCTTCTTTCTTCAATTTTCTGTTGTCGCTACTAGTAAATCCATTTTTCAGTTGATTTTTTCCACAACCTCTCCCTCTCCATGTATTGATTCCTACTTCACACCTTCCTCTTCAGTTTTTAGTCTGCACTTGTCAAAAAGTAAAACTTCTTGCATTTCTTATGTAGGTTTTGCTTTAACGGTAGTGAAATAGCAATTGGTTATTCACTAGCCTTCACTGCTGAGAAAGAATTGAAGAATTTCAAATCATCTTTATGTTGATAGGATAGATATGAATTAAAAGGCCATCTTTAGGTCACCTGTAAAGATATGTAAAATATGGATGATGGAAGCCGTCAAGCTGATGGGTTTAAAAGAACAATACTTTGGAAATACTGCACAATCCCGACCACTATATCATGTTGATTTGCCTGTTGAAGGGAAACTAGCATTCCACTACAGAGTTAAATTAGGTGGTTGCCTCATGTAATATGCATTTAGCAAATTCTTAGAGAAGAACAAAATTTCAATTTTGAATGTTTTGGCCCAGTCTAACATGCATATGGTGATAGTTTTCTAACTGCAAAGCAATGTTTTCCTTGCAAAGAACGTATTTCAGAATAAGGGATAGACAATTTTATAGCTGTACTAATCATTTATTTATTTTTCATAGCTTAGCTTTTGGTAACGGGGAAGTTCATACTATTTACTCAACACATCTGTTTTTTGACATAACCAGCACTTCCAGTGGTTAAAATCTTAACTATATTGACTTTATCGAAGCAATATGTAGCAGATTTGCATGGTAGCCATTAAATTATTTATCATAACTAGATGAAGGGTGGCTGCCTCTAATATTAGTGGGGTATATTCTGTTCTAATTTGAAATAGCTAATCATACATTGGGCAATGCTAGGATTTGCATATTCTACTTTTCTGCTATTGGGATATAAGAGCCCCCAACTTATAACTTGGCTCGATTAGTGGTCGATTCATGGCTTCTATGTTGAGGTCGATGTGTCAATGAGCCAGTCTCGACCTGGCTCTTCGATTCATGAGTCAGCTTGTTTAAAAAATATTAATATAGAATATACTTCAAAATATTATATATAATCTTACTACAAAATTATAAAAGGCTTGAAAATTTTAGCTCTCCTCTCTCTCTATTAATTATTAATTCTTTCCATATTTTCATTGTCATAACTGCTCAGTTTCAAATTTATTATAATTCTTTCATAATAAGATGAGCTAGTGTGTGACCTACTCTTAACTTCTTGAGATTTGCTCATATTTAATTAATTAGTCAAGCTCAAGCTGATTGCTCGTACTTGAGTTATTTACACCCCTATCTACCGCCAATAAACCATGCAACTCTAGTTTATTCCGAACGGCGATTCTTTTGAAATATGACACTTTATTTAGTTGGTATTGCGGATTTTCCATGATCTAGCACCTGCTACAGTTATCTGCCTCAAGTTGCAATGCTTGGGCTAATGTAAGTGTATTAATCATTTATTTATGCTACAATTTGGAATTTACTAAAGTCTTTTACTAGTTATATTACTTTTGAAATTACTTATTATTTGATCACAAACCATACAGCGTTGTTGGCAGATGCTTTGTGATAAGTTTGACACTCAAAAACTCATTAGATATTATTGTTCAATGTATGTGCACTTTCCTACCAATTACATCCTGTGCCTTTTGGATTCAAAGAAGATCTTGGGGATGTACTACAAATGGAGCTTTGGTCATTGGAAAACTCCATATAGATGTATGAGATTAATAAGATTTGGGAACTTATTGATGTAGCAAAAGGCAGGCATCATGAATGTCATAGTATTTTCTAAATTAAGAGAAAGGACAAAAATGGTCCTTGGATTAAATCAAAGTCATGATAACTTGTTTAGCTTATAACATAAAGATGTTTAGTACAAAATGTCTAGTACAACCACAAAAATATAACCAAAAAACCTTAGTACAACTTGAAAGTCCTACTACTCAATAGAGAGAATGATAGAATTAGATTCAGTGGTTGGTCTTTGGCTTAAATGAAGGATATTGTACTTATTTAACATTTTTGGCATGACCTTCTACAATCAAGTGAATAGGAATTCTAGAAATATTAGACTGAACCATGCTTGCAAGTTGCATCACTAAGCCTTGTTATATACAAGATTTTATCATGCTTTTTATCATACCAAGGATAAAGTGATGCATATGTATGGTAGGTTTAAGTATTGTGAATTCATAATCAATTTACAGGTTAACAAATATAATGTTTGTGTTTTGTTTATTCAATTGGTAAATGAAGATTTAGGTAAAAACAAAGAAAGGTTTTAGACTAACCTGTTAACAACTTCGCCCTCAACATCTGATTGGCTCTACCAACGTTCATATTACAGGGCTAGCTTATTCTAATAAGAGTGAGTTGCTTGTTTCCTACAATGATGAGCTAATCTACATGTTTCAGAAAGAAATGGGCATTTTTACACATTCAAAAACTATCCAAGCTGAGGCATTGCAAAACCTTGATCAACCACAGGTGTATTTAGGACATAGAAATTCACAAACAGTAAATGAAGATTTAGGTAAAAAGTAAAAACAAAGATTTAGGTAAAAACTGAAAACATCATTGTTTGGCCTCACAAAACACTAAAAGTGGAGATTTAGGTAAAAACAAATAGAATCGGATTGCAAGTTGCAAACTCTCTACCTTTCTTTTGTTCTTGTCAACCAAAATAAAAAAAAAACCTAAAACAACCAAGTTTCGAAATCTAACTTACAGAAATGAAGAATGAAAAAAAAAATGAGAGAAATGAAGAATGACAAAAAAAATTTCGAAATCTAACTTACAGAAATGAAGAATGGCAAAAAAAATGCGAGAAATGAAGAATGGCAAATTTTTTTTTGAAATTTAACTTACAGAATTTTTTTTCCAATCGATGGTTCGGCGACGGTGCGGAAACTGGAGGCGACGATGCGAAAACTGGAGGCGAGGGTGCGGTCGGAAACTGGAGGCGAGGGTGTGGCCGGAAACTGGAGGCGAGGGTGCGGCCGCAAACTGGAGGCGACGGTGCGCGGGTGCGGCTGCTCGTGAGTCGCGTGAAGACTGCTGTGCTTTCACTCGAATGAATGCAAAAGAGGGATTAGGGCGGGCTCGGGAAGACTGCGGTGCTTTTGCTCGAACCGATGCTTATCTATTTTTAATTTTTTTTTAAAGTTATGAAATAGCCGGACACGCGTGTCCGACTTAAGTTTTCTTAAAAACAGTCTGGACATGATCAAAACGTGTCGGACACGTGTCCCCGCCGTGTTGGGCGCGTGTCCGTGTCCGACACTGCACTGCCTCTTAAAACGGAGTGTCCGTGCATCATAGGTTGTGAATCGTCAATTAGCCAGTCTTGACTTGGCTCTTTGACTTGTGAGTCAACTTGTTTAAAATATATTAATATAGAATATACTTCAAAATATTATATCTAATCCTTCTACAAATTTATAAAAGGCTTGAAAATTTTAGCTCTCCTCTCTCTCTCTCTCTTAATTATTCATTCTTTCCATATTTTCATTCTCATAACCAAGAGGCGCGCCTCAGTCCAGGTGAGGCGTACGCCTCATCCAGGTCCAGAATTGCGTAAGCCTCGAGGCGTTTTTTGGTGAAATTGCGCAAAGGCGCGCCTTGAGGCGCGCCTCTAATTGCGCAATTTTAAACCATGCTCATAACTACTCAGTTTCAAATTTATTATAACTCTTTCATAGTAAGATGTGCTAGTGTGTGACCTACTCTTAACTTCTTGAGATTTGCTCATATTTAATTAATTAGTCAAGCTCAAGCTGATTGCTTGTATTTGAGTTATTTACACCCCTATCTACCGCCAATAAACCATACAACTCTAGTTTTGTCTGAATGGCAGTTCTTTTGAAATATGACACTGTATTTTAGTTGGTATTGGCGATTTCCCATCATTTAGCACCTTCTACAGTTATCTGCCTCAAGTTGCAATGCTTTGGCTAATGTAAGTGTATATTATCATTTGTTTATGCTAGAATTTGGAATTTACTAAATTCTTTTACTAGTTATATTACTTTTGAAATTAGTTATTATTTGATCACAAACCATACAGTGTTGGCAGATGCTTTGTGATAAGTTTGACTCTCAAAAACTCATTAGATATTAGTGTTCTATATATATATGCACTTTCCTACCAATTACGCCTTGTGCCTTTTGGATTTAAAGAAGATCTTGGGGTTGTAATACAAATGGAGCTTTGGTCATTGGAAAACTCCATATGGATGTATGAGATTAATAAGATTTGGAAACTTATTGATGTAGCAAAAGGCAGGCATCAAGAATGTCTTAGTATTTTCTAAATTAAGAGAAAGGTAAAAAATGGTCCTTGGATTATTTATAGGGGATTCTTTTAGTCCTTTTATAGTGTGATCGACTATTCAACATATCTATTTTTATGCCTCAACTATTTAATTCTAATAAAAAGAGTCCTTTGACCCCTCTAATGTAACATATGGATTATTTTGGATCATATTTGAGGAGTTAAGGGAGTTAATTGAACATATTTATAATTTGTGATTAAAATGACTCCTTAAAGATGGTCTAGATATCATTTTGACCTTTTTTTTATTTTTAAAATCATCATATCTTTGGAATTTTAACTTTTTTCATCTTTCTATATTAGATTATATTTAGGGTTTGACTTAAGTTTCAATGCATTATTATTTCTTTTTGGATTGTTTTCATTTTTTTTAATTAGATGATAGAATTTAGGACTTGTATATATTTGAATCTCAGTTTAATTTTATTTGATTTCCCTATTTCTATAAATAAAGGCTTGAATGCTTGTAAATTTGTAATTATGATATTCAGTTGTTGATTGAAGATTGAATCTGGATTCCCTCTTCTGTCTTTTTCATCTTCCACTTCAGATATTTCGTTTTATTGTTGTGTTTCAAATTCTAATAGCTCTCAAATTTTATTGTTTTGTCCTTAATGTAGTTCACAAGAATCAAGAAACTATTATTTGGGATTTCTCCTGTACAATTGCTGAGATTCTTTCCTTCAAGGCTTTTATTTTTTTGAATGAAGCTCAAGGCCCCTTTACAGTTTCCTTTTGTCCACCTCATCCATCTTTGCAATTATCTCTGTAGAACCCCATTGAAATTCTCTTTTTTAGGGATTTGAGACTGAGAGAAACAAGATATTTCAAGTTTGGTTAACGAGATGGAAGAGGAATATCAATTAAGGGATCAACAACATGGTTACTACAACAAATCTCTTTCGTAATTCATGATTACTGGGAAATAAACTTCTCTAAGTTTTTCTCCTGCACAATTTCTGAGACGCTTTCCATTGTGTCTTTTCTCTTTTGGAGTTGATCTTAAGCCTCCCTCATGGTGTACTTTATCCACCCCATATTCTCTCTCTACAATTCAGTCAGCACAACCGGTGTGCAATCCTCTTAGTTAGGGATTGGTGTTAAGTAGAAAGCAAGCTAAAAAGGAGGATAACATCAAATTGGCATCAAGAAAGCAAGAACTACTCTTTTTTTTTTGCATCAGTATCTTAATTCCTAATGGTGTAAAAGTAGACTGAGATATTAACAAGGAGCAAGCCATGGAGGTAAGGGATGCCTGTGTTTGTCAGCGTGTCCTTTTTTTTACTGCTTACTTCTATGAGAAAATAATAGTTCTGTCAGTGTGTCTAATGGTGGATATCGCGTATGCTTCCTTCATGTCATTTGTTATCATTTGTTCCATGATTCAGCTTAAGTCCTGATGAGGTGGTTACATTGTTACCATTAAAATTTGAAGATTATTATTCTCATTACTATTTCAAAAGGAAGTTCTCATAAGGAATTTATTTATCAAATTTATTTGTCACAATGTATCATCTGCTGTTTGGAATATAGCTTTGTTTACATAAATCTAGCATGATAATTAAGCCATATTTATATTTCAAAACTTTTTATATTTACAATATTATCGATATCAGGAAGTCTTTCTTTTATCTATCCCTATCAGTTATGAGAAACGTGCCATACAAAATGCAATTATTAAAAAGCACTCGGAGAAAGCAAATTCCCATGACAAGGTTACAATTGAAGTGGAGATGATGGAATCAAAGCTTGCATGTTGTTCAGAAGCTGTTCTACATGCCGACAGAAGTGGTGGCGAAGGAACAGGTATTTGTCCCTCATTTTGATTAAAACTTATTTTGATCGTATTCATTGTTTTATATGCATATCTGAAATGTTTTACTCGGCAGAATGAGTATTGAAGATCTGCCACTTTGTTCTTAGACGAGCCATACACACTCCCCTCATTGAAAAAATAATAAGAGATATGAGTAGTAAATTTCTAGCTCCAAATGTTTCAAGCTGTTCTCCTTTTTGATGTTGAAAGATGAAGGCTTCGTTTGGGATGGCTTTTTTATTTCTTTCTAAAACGGAGTTTTAGTACAAAATTAAAAAATTTTGTACTAAAACTCCATTTTAGAAACCGTTTTAGAAAGCAATAAAAAAGCCATCCCAAACGAAGCCGAAGTCACCATCTCCCAATATTTGGCATTTACAGAACTGCCCTGTTTGATCCAGTAAACTGACGCAAGTTTAGGACTAGACCAAGGATATTATGACCTGACAACATAAGTACAAAGAAATGATGTATAGAAGAGAGTTTTTCACAAACAAAAGGGTTTAGCAATTTAAACGCTGAGATGATTATACACAATTCAAGAGTGTATATGACAATTCCACTGCAGTTCTTGGTTTTTTAATGTTCTCGTTCGAAATTTTATTTCACGTTTTATACAAGTGCGTGCCGGCTTCCTTTAATGTTGTGGAGGATTTTGAAATCAGTTGCTTTTGGATTTTCAGTAATGCCCCTTTCTTCTTTCTTAGAACAGCCTAGTATATATACATGCGAGAGTTTCTTTATATATATATATATCTTTGAGAAACCATAAAAACGGGATTCATCATAGCATTACAGTATCATAATAAGAGAAAATAAGGAAACTATTGAATCTCGGGATGCATACACAACTAGGAATATATACAGTTAGTGTAACCATCTTTTCTAAATATTTTGATAGGAAACTCTTGTAGGATTCAAGAGAAACTTATCAACTACTGATTTCAGCGAATCGTTAACACAAATTTGAAAGAAATCCAAAGGAAATAGCACAAACGACATAGAAATTGATGAAATAACAACGAACATAACAAGATTCAATTGATCCTCAATTCAAGAGGAGGATCTATCTCTCCCAATTCTCTAGACGCTACTAGAGCCCAAGCACCAAGACACAAGAACAAAATTCAGCAAAATAACAAGATAACCATAACCCTAATTCCCTCCTTCAACTTAAAGTAAATCAAATAACAAAGTTAAAATAAAAAACAAAAACAAAAAAGAAAAAAAAAATCAAATAACAAAGTCAGTGATTATTATTATCATTATTAAAAAAATCAAATAACAATGTTACAACCAATGCTTTTAAAACCGGACCGGCCGGTTCAACCGGTTGAACCGCGAACCGGCCGGCCGGCCGGTTACGGGTCTCTAAATAACCGTTTCCGCGTCGAACCGGGCTCGGACCGGCCGAACCGCCGGTTCGACCGTAGAACCGGAAAACCGGCTCCGGTTTTGAATAACCGGCCGGTTCGATTATGCGTATTTTCAGCCGTTGTATTTGATCCTGCGGCTTGGATGAGCGACGACTTAAGCTGCTATGAAAACAAACAAAAAAAAAACCCTACTCATTCTGTCATTCGTTTGGATGAGCTCACTCGTTGGCGTTCGACTTCAGTTCCCTCGACGACTTTCTCTTCCGGCCAGGTCGGAAGTTTCGACATTTTGAGCGGAAGCCAGAACGGGAGCTTTTGGCTGTGAAGTTAAATTTCTCCATTTCGCGCATCTTCCTCGGCACCGTCACTGCTGTCTGACCTTGCTCGTCCGGCGGAAGTTACGACATTTTGATCGGAGATCGGAATAAGAACGGGAGCACGCTGACTGTGAAAGTAACTTTCCACCTTTCGTGTGCTTCTCCGGCACCTTCGTGGCTGATCGACGTCGCCTCTCCGATGGCTTTCCCTTCCCATTAGATCAGAAGTTAGACATTTTGATCGGAAGCAATAATGTGAGCTCGCCGGACTGTGAAGGTAACTTTCATCCTTTCGTGCGCTTCTCTGCTTCCTCCGGCGACGTTCCCTTACATGTAGGATCGGAAGTTAGACATTTTAATGTTTTTGGTGGATTTTCCTTTTGTTTTGTGTTGCAGATTTGGTGAATAAAATTTCTGAACTTATTATTGTTGTGCAATGTAATCTGCCCTAAATTTGTCTGGTTTTAATTGCATTGTTGTAGATGAAAAAAGCATATAGTTGGCTAAGTGTGGGCTAGTGGCTTTTGTCAGCACTTATAAGTAAAAGTATTATAATTTTTTTTTTCAATTTTTGTTATATATTTATAAATAATTGTGTCATTATTATAATATTTAAATATAATAAATCTGAGGTTATAACTCGTTCATGCTTGTTTGTTTAAAGCTCGATAAGCACTAAACGAACGAACATGAATTGAACATGAACCGAACAAGAACACTCATTAATTTAAATGAACCAAACATGAACACAAACAATAAAGCTCGAACAAACATGAACCAAACTTGAACAACCTGATATTAAATGAACACAAACATGAACACTCACATACTCGGCTCGGCTCGATTCGTTTGCAGCCCTACATGGTGTCACACCCCAGTTTGGCTCACCCTCTACCACAAACTGAAGAATAACAGAGAAGGATTTCAACATATCAAACTCCACTCTTAACAACAGGAAGCATGTAATATATATAACTAAATACAATCAATTAAACAATTAATTTCATAATTTAAAAAAAAATGCTTGGAATTCAAGTAAACTTGCTTGGAATTCAAGTAAACTGTATATAAAAATAAGCTCACATTTAGAGGAAGTTGATGCTTACATTATTTTTAAATATATTTGAGAGCCTTATACATGGACCGGTCTAACAATACCTAAAGGGCCGGCTGAACCGCTCCAGCATGGACCGGTCTAACAATACCCCCTCCCAAAGAATCACCTTATCCTCAAGGTGAAAGGACGAAAACTGATGCTTCACTCTCTCATATGGTTCCCAGGTGGTCTTGTAATCCTTTAGGCTCATCCATTTAATTAGAACCTCCTTAGTCTATTCTTCTCCCTGACAAACCCCCATCAATTCCAGTGGTTCTAATATCACCTCCAAGTCCTTTGTCAATGTCACCGGTATCTCAATAGTAGTTGCATGATCCCCAATTGCTCTCCTCAGTTATGACACATGGAACATGAGATGTATAGTAGATGTCGATGGTAATCACAAACAATATGTTACTGCTCCAATCCTCTCCACTGCCTCATATGGGTCAAAGTACCTTGGGGCAAGCTTTTGATTCCTCTTGTTGGCGACCGTCCTCTATTTGTATGGTTGTAGCTTTAAGAACACCTGCTCTCCTATGTAGAACTGGATGTCCTTCCTGTGTCCGTCCGCCTATTTCTTTATCATCTGATGTGCCCTTAACAGGTGTCTTTTTAATTCCTCCAACACCCTATTTCTTTCCTCCAGGTGCTACTCTACTGAAGAGATTGATGTGCTACTATGCCAAAAATGCACAAAGTGCGGTGGGTCTTGTCCGTACAACAATTTGAATGAGGTCATCTGGGAAGCAGAATGATACAAATTGTTGTATCAGTATTCTGCCCAAGCTAACCATTCGGCCCAAAGCTGAGGTGTCTCTGAAACAATGCATCGTAGGTTTGTTTCCAGGCTTCTATTTATCACCTCAATCTACCCATCTTTCTGAGGGTGGTAAGCGGTACTCATCTTCAGTACAGTCTCCTGCAGCCTGAACAACTCCCTCCAAAAATGGTTGAGCACCTTATCCCTATTTGACACTATAGACGCTGGTATCCCATGCAATCTGTCCACCTTCCTGATGAAAGCTGATGATACTATCACTGTCGTGTAGGGGTTTTGCAGGGGAATGAAGTGAGCATACTTGCTCAGTTTGTCCACTGCCACCAGAAGCACAATAAACCTTTCAGATCGGAGTAGCCCATCTATAAAATCCATGGAGACCTCCCACACTCAATCTGGTAGAGTTTGGGGTTGAAGTAATCCCCCTAAAGCCATGAACTTATACTTATTCCTCTGATATACCTCACAACTGGCTACTATTTACTCCACATCTTTTTTGCATCCCTTTTCAATACAATTATGTTGTCAGTCTCCTGTAGGCCTTCTGTACCCTCGAGTGACCCCAACAACGCTCCTGTGGAACCCCCCCAACCCCAATTCAGCATCAGGGATACCTCTGTCCTCCATCGGGAAAGGTTCCAGATGAGGTCTTCTCCTTCTACGATCTCCACATCATTTTCATCCCTACGAATTTCAGAATTCGTTTTTTTTTTATTCCAGCCCTCTCGCCTCCAATGCTACAGTTTGGTTGTGGAGATTCAACATCTTCTTCACCATGTCACGTAGGTACGAGAATTGTTTTTTCATGGAGGAAATTCTATCCTCCATCGTTGCTTTGATTTGGTTCATCTCCCCCTTTAGTCGTTCTTCCAAAGCATCCACCTTCTTGACCTCCATCGATACCCAAATCTTTGTTAGACTCAAAATTCCAGATTTCATCACAAAAAACAACAAAAAACCACTGTTTGAATGAGAAAACTGCTGCAAGAAAATGCCAAAAACAATCCAAAAAGCGGCTTTGATACCAATTTAATAGGAAACCCTTGTAGATCTCAAGCAAATCTTATAAAAAACTGAATTTCAGTGAAACTTCACCGCAAATCTTCAATCAAATCAGGAAAAATGGCAATTAGATTGTAGGAATTGATGAAAAACAGAAAGAAAATGCTAAGATACAATTGCTCCTCAACTCGAGAGAAGGATCTTTCTCTCTAACTCTCTAGATGTCGCTAGAGCCCAATAATGTCAAGGAAACACAGAACTTCAACAATAATTAAGATAACCCTAACCCTAATTCCAACCTCCTATGTAAAGCACACAATTAACCCCTAAAAAAACTAAACAACCCTCCTAATTCAAATTTTCCCTCCTAATCCCTCTTCTCTCTCTCTACTTAAGCAGTGGGCCCCACATGAGGGGGGTGGAACCTAGTAGGGGTAGATCACAGCAGGTTTAAGGTTGCTATAAACCAGTTGGCGACCCAAGTGTTGGGCCTGTTGGACCGGTCTATCAGTTGACTACTTTAATACCTACAATCTTTGTTATAATTTGCATACAGCTCTAGTCGAAGAAGTTGAAATGTATCCTAGTGGGAGATACATGTGCACTCCCTCCATAAAGTCTTCCTCATGAAATCATTTTCTTATGTCAAATTGATGTGATGGCCAATCTAAACTTGTCACAAGGGTTAATAAGATTGACATTATTAATTTTGTTACTTGAGAAAAAGTCTCCTATTAGTCTACCTCGTAAGTCTATATAATCCTTGGCTTCGGTCTCATTTTGTCTCGTTTAATGGATCCTTTTGCCTTACAGTTGATAAAAAAAAAACCTAATTACATGCAATTGTTTTGTTTCCCTTGGGAAGTGAAATGAGATCCCATGTTTTGGTTTTTCCAGTGCTGCTATTTCGTCTTGATTTGCTTTATCCATTTTGGTTCAATTAAGGCTTCATGAACTCCATTACTAGTAATATTACATGAGGACAAATTGTAATCAAAATGTTTGAAGTTTAGACAATCCTAAAGTTACTACATGAATTGAGATAGGATTCTTTGATTGTTTCCCTTCAGCAGGCAAGTAACGAGCTGTAGGCTTAACCCTGTTGTGCATGAAAGGTAAGTGATAACCATTAGATAAGTTACCTCACGAATTTATTATTCTGTGCGGAGTGCGGACGGCGTCCGGAGACCAATAAAAATGCGTCACGTCACCTCATTGGTGGGTATCCAGCTCGGTATCCGCACTCGGTACCGCTGGGTATTTAGTGCTTAACCGGATGATTCTCCTGTCCGGTGTCCGTATAGAATAAAAGCTCCAGATGAAGGAGCGTAATTGTTGTTTACATGAGATAGTAGATTCTTTTTTATTAGGTTTACATGAAGTTTTGTGATCGTCTTCAGCAGACGCATCACTGTCTCTGTCTATAAAAAATCTCAAAAAATTCAGTGAATATCACACAAATTGAGGCTTGTCAATTGATTTTTATTGAAGGAAGCCCAGACAACCAAATACACTTGCTAAAATAAATAAGATGAAAGATTGTGTAACATATTTGGCACAATCTGTAATGGAGTTTTGAACCCCAAAATCATAGCTCGATTCGGTTCATTAAGTTGGGAGTAGTGACCATAATATCATTCTAATTGTGATTAGAAACTTTTGCTGGAATTAGCAATTCATGTTCAATTGCAAGTGCATAGTCATCAAAATAAACATTTCCTAAGAAGGCTCCACCTCCTAACCTCTAATGATAACTAAATTTGAGTGCTCTTATCCTTGATAGATGTGCTAACTTATGATAAGTGAAAGTTGTGCTCAGTCATTGGGTTATTGAAATCTTTCTCTCACAACAAAATAGTTTCCTTGCCATGGACCATTTCTTTCGTTAGGTTGAGCGGTTGTGCCGGTTCAACATCCTCTCGGTCATTCTCCTCGACTCAACTAGAACCCTTGTCGGTTTATTGCTTTGCTTATAATTGATCCATTACATTTTTGTCTCAAGCTATTGTAAATTTATGACTTGGCATCTTTGAATGAATTGCCACTGCTCATACATAGAATGTTCCACTTGGAGCAACCATATAAAGCTTACTTCAAAGGGATCCCAAGTTCACAAAGCCATAATCTTCTCAGTAACAATTTAAAAAGACCTGAGTAGGAGTTCTACTAGGAATTCCACTTGGCCTCAGCCCCCCTTCACTTTCCTTTTCACTTACAACGAATATAATTATAACTCCCATCTTTGCAAAGTCTATAGCCATAGGCAGAACCTACACTAGGGGAGAAGCTTATCTATTTGCACATTATCAATGTGCCACACCAATGAAATATTGACTATGATTGACAATTTTCTTGCTATCAATGATAAAATAGCTCCATCTTTTGAAAATAAAATTGCCTGTGTATCATCTTTTCTGAAGTGTTTGGACGGATGCAAATTGGCACTTATTGAATATATTGTTATTTGAGCATTATGGTCAAATACTTGGGCTTCATTTAGGATGATATTCTTATTGCTTTTTAAAGTAACTTTTTTAAACAAAATTAAAAATTTTGTAGGAAAAAGTTATTTTAATAAGCAATTACAAATGAAGCCTTAAAGCTTACTCTTCAAGCTACAACTTGTTAGCCGACACTAAGTTTTTATTTGGGACTATTTTCTTACTATTCTTAAAAGTTACTTTTTAATAGAAATTTTTTTATAAAAAATAATAAAAAAGCTGTTACAAATCAAGCCCTAAGTTTTTTTTTTAATTAAGTTTTTTGGGCACCTAAAAAATTGAAAGCATAAGGCCAAACGTTTAGTGAAAAATCTATTTATCAAAGGAGATTCTTTAAGTCACAGCGTCGGCAGCCAAATTAAAATGGTTAAGGAAACTATTCCTTTCAAAATTTACTCGACTTGTTGAGTTCTATTAAAATGTCAAATTGACCACTAAATTGTAGAGATGATAACATCAAGAGATTATTGGCGGTGCGTGCGGGATTGAAATTTGAAGGAAGAATTTCGAGTTTATCGCCCATTGAATTGATCAAAAAAAAAAAAAAAAGGGCACTTTTTCAGCTTCTTTTCTTATGTATCAACACTTCTTTTTTAGAACACCTTGAGGCGAACTCTAAATGCATGCAATGAATCAAATCAATTGGGCTAAGTTTCGTTTGTTCTAATATTTGGAGCAATTTTAGCCATGATTGAAGCTAATATTTATAAAATAAAATTATATGACAGACATTTTTAACTTATCCAAACACCCTTTCAACTGAAGAAGTTGAATCAAGCACTGTAAATTATCTCAAGATGCGAGTAAAAAGATGCCATAAAATATAAATCCAATGGAAATTGAATTCATGTCCAAGAAGATTTAAAACACAGGAATAAGCTTAGGGTCAAATTATTTGATTAATTATTAATGTTATAAAAAAATTATTTTTAGTTATGATTGTTTTTTTTTTCCTTTTTTTAAACGAAAAATCATGTTACAATAAATTTTGAAATCTTTGTTTTGATATTCCCAGAAAAATAAAAAAAGTTTAAGGCTTTATTTTAGATAGATTTTTTATTAAACTCATTTTTTTTTTGTACAAAAAAAATTTTTAATATTAAAAATCTTTGTACTACAAAGATGTTTTAAAAAATAATAAAAAATTATCCTAAATAAAAACTAAATTTAATATTTTGTTTCATCCTAAAAAATATATAAAATATCAACAATGGTGATTGTCTCCTTCTTCAGAAATTATTAGGTACAGAGTGCGGAAGGGAGAACCGTCTGCACACTAGTATAAAACAGTGTTCGGTACCGTTCGGTACCACTCGGTACCGCTGGATACCGCTCGGTACTCTGTATCTGTGCAGACGGTTCTCACCCCGTCTGCACTCCGCACCTAATAATTTTTCCTCCTCCTTATACCAATTTCTATAATCTAAGTTCTAAACGTTTTTTTTTTCTCCATTAAGCCCATAGCAGTAAGCATTAACTCAATTCCAACACTACAATGGAGAAACACAGATCATTTCTAACAAACCTAAGTAACAGAAACAATAAAAACAGGGAAATAATGGGCTTTGGCGAATAAAAATAACATACTTGAATGAAATATTTTGTTATAATCCTAACGAGTTCATCTGCCCCTTCTTTCGTTGGCTCTCTTCCACGTAGCCTTTCCCTTAATCTTCCATTTACTAACTCCACCAGGACGGCGACTCTCATTTACTTCTTGAACTTTACGTTTCCTGTTGCAGAATACCATTAAGATTACATTTTTTTTTTTTTTAAGATTTTTAATCAAATAGTTAGTTGATATCGCATCAAAAACATTTATTGAAAATTTGATTGATTCTTCCATAAATTCAACTCTGAATAAAAATTGATTCCAACATTTAGAATACCTGTATGTTTGGAAGGTACTATCAGAGAGTAATTCATCCGCCAATGTAGATTTCCTCTCCTTCTTCGTTAGTCTTCCTGAGAAGAACTCGGATGCTGATTCAACCACAGTTCCCACCTATCAAATCAGAAAGCGTCAAGAAATTTTTATTGGCAAAAGAAATAATAAGATACCATTAAAGACTAATAAGACGTTAAGGTGTCTTGCCTGGAAATACTTGGGTGGTCCTCTAGACTTATCTCCCTTCTTGAAATGCCTTTTAGGGTCAATAAAATTCCTCAACTGCAGCACAGCACAGCAGCAATTCGATTGTCAAAGCCAGCCAGCAAAAATATCATGAAAATGAGAAAGATTTTCTACTCTTTGTTTAGGGATGTCCTCATATTAGGACGACGGGCGAAATTGAAGGGGAAAGGGAAGGGAGGGGCTACAATTTCTAGGACTAGTTTTGCATTCATACCACAAACCTAAGGGAGTTTGCGGCAATGACCAAAATAATCCCTTTGACTTTTTATGAAGGGCAAAATGGTCCCAAGCTATAACTGACTATTTTGATTCTCCAAGCCTTTTAAAAGGAATCAAAGTAATCCTATGGTGTGATTATTTTGATTCCTCTTTACGAAATTAAGAGACTAACATATTCATTTAATATAATTTAGAACTATTTTAGTCTTTTATAAAAAATCAATGGATCATTCTGATCCAAGGTTTAAAATTGCGTAATTAAGCCTCGAGGCGGTCTGAGGCGTAAGCCTCACGGACACAGAATTGCGTAAATGAGAAATTAAGGGTTTTAGCAGGATAATAATAGATTTTCTTACACTTGAAAAATCTAACCCTAAACTAACAAAAATACCTAAAATCCAATGTGGAGTACTCCTAGAGGGCGGCCAGAAGTTTCAACTTCGTCGGAGAGAGGCGGTGCCGGCGGGAGAAGCGGTGGTAAGGGAAGCCGGCGGGTAAGGACCGTGCGGGAGCTCTCTGTTTCACGAACTGGAGTCGTGCGGATAGGAAAAATTCGGGAGGAGCTGCTGCCGTGCGGGTTTAAGGAGAAAAAAACAAGTGGGTGGGCCCATTCCCATGAGGCGTACGCCTCACTAAGAATTGCGCAATTGCGCCTCTGAGGCGCGCCTCAGTCCATGTGAGGCGTACGCCTCTGCCAGGGGTGGAATTGCGTAAGCTTCGAGGCGGTTTTGAGATGAATTGCGTAGAGGCGCGCCTCTTATTGCGCAATTTTAAACAGTTCTGATCCTTTTCTCGAAACCTAAATGTGCAAGTCAATAGTTCCAATTATCTCCAAGAAACACGTCTGAAGGTTCCGACAGCAAAACAAGTAGGATATCCTAGCTATTTCAACCATTTGCTTCAAGCAAGGGATATTGTAAACAATATCATAAAGCATAAAATAAATACTGTGTATAAGAATACCAGTTGGCAGGTTGGAACGAAAACAATAAAACATAATAAATTAAAGATAGGAGGATCATTTCTATTTAAAACATTACGTGGGTCTTTTTCTCTTATTTTCTAAGGTCGAGTAATTTAGTAATTAGATGGCCTTGGAGTTTAATAGATGTTTTTATATAAATATCCCATTGGTATGAAAAAAGGGAAGTTTTTTTTAGAGTTAAGATATCCTGAGATTTTAGGGTAGATTTCTAAGTTGAGAAGAAGTGACTGAAAAAAATAATCATAGTCGAGTCCAAGACCTTGTGAAGATCCGTAAATCTTCCCTTGTGTAATTCTCAAATAGGCCAGCAGTTCCGGCGGCTGGAGGATAATCCCATGGCAGTTTCTGGGTGAGAAAAGTCGGGCGATTTCCTAAGGCTAGTGGCAATCAAGCAATTCATGGTAACAGAAGTAGCCTTCTCCCTAGAGTTTTTTTTTTTTTTGGTCTGTCGAGTCACACCATGAAAGGGACCAAGAACTACCAAGTGAAACTAGACAACGTTGAAATGAAATTCCTAGATCTTGATATTCATGAGTGTTTTTTGAATCAAGACGTTCACCCATCAAGTTCTCTGTTTTACTAACTTTGTTAATTTCAACAATTTGATACCCATTTGAACACTTCACCACTATTTGTCTAGAATTTTGATTGCATCAGGTTGCGGGCAAAAATTTATAGCCAGTCCCAAGCAAGATGCACCATAAACTATCCTCTGTTTCAGCCAGTACTCATTCCATCTCCAATATCAGAATCGTAGGGGGATAATCAACAGTTCCTTGAATCAAGAATTCCTTTCCATGTCAGGTTCTTTGTTTTTTCATTGTTTAATCTACTTTAGAAGCTATAGTTGGAACAGTTTTTCTAACTATGTCGAATTTTGTTATTGCAGGTGGCTGAAAGTATGAAACGGTGACAATACCATCCTGAAGGTTGAATCAGAGGCAGCTGCCCATACATTATCCGAAGGGATGAGTATGAAGTGTTGGGAGGAATGAACCACACGGTCTCAAATTGATTAAACATAGGATTTTGTTTACAGCATAAAGTCATTCCCCTGGAATGTTTTCGATTAAGTGGATTATTTTCCTTGTTGTAGGTGTATTGGTATTCCCTTGATAATATTTATTTTAGTTTGGTTGATAATTCTGGAATATCTCTATCCAGTTAATAAATTCTTATTACCATTCTTTTTTTCGTTGTCAAATTTTGGTATCAGAGCTCTAGATTAAGATGCTGCCTAAGAGAAATAGACCACACCAAGCGTAAGAAATAACTATAGAAGACTTATAAAATGAAATCCGAAAAACTACAACTTAGACTGGTGGTGACCATCGAGTAGATTGTGACATCAAAAACCCTTTCAGTCAAGTATTTCAATAATTATTCAAGAAAGATGAACCTTACCCTAGAGGGGAACATATTAGACGTTACCATAATTTTGAGGTTAAAATAGGCATTCTGGATTTTGAGGATAGGCTAAAGCTTCGTTTGGGATAGCTTTCATATTGTTTCCTAAAACGGTTTTCAAGTATAAAATTTTCTAATTCAAGAAATTGTTGTACAAGAAAGCTGATTTAGAAAGCAACAAAAAAGCTGTCTCAAATGAAGCCTAAATCTCATGGCTTCATAGATTAGCTACATACAATAGAACGTTTTTTTTTTAATATAAAAAAGTACCTATTGATAAGTGCATAAAACTTGGGCATCAAGTTAAAAAAAAAAAAGCATCCATTTAGTGGGATGATCTTAAGGGCATCTCCAACCGAACGGCAAACACTTGTTTGCCGTTCTTGCTTTGCTCCAACCGATCGCCATTTTTGATGCCATTTTATTGCGGATGAACAGTGCGACGCCAATATTGGCGTCGCACTGTTCATCTGCGCCATTTTTTTCTCTCTACCGAACAGGTTGGGAAGAAAGGCGCGAAAGAAAACGACTGTTTTAGCGGCAAAATGACGTTGGATTGGAGATGAAACACGGCATTTTTTGATTTCCCTGCATTTTGGAGTGAAAAATGACATTTTCGGTTGGAGATGCCCTAAGCACACAAGGACTTGAGAGCATAAAATAAAATCATCACATAAAAATAGATTAAAAAAGAACTAAAGAAAATATACTTATCATTTCATTTCAAGTAAAACGCCTTTATTAAACTACATAATTTTTTACAAATACGCATGCTAGTAGAAGAATATAAAACTAAATTCAACCAATTGATGTTAAAATGCAACGTAGTTGAAACTGAGGAGCATACCATTGCCCATAAATTAAAGTTTTGCATCCCGCAATTCCAAATATTGTATAGCTACGACTAAGGATAGAATGAAAATAAGCCAATATTAAAAACTTCTCTCCTAGTTCAGAACAAAAACTTTGTAAAATAAAGGTTTCAAAGAATATTCAATACAATTCAATAGCACAAAAACTGCATGAGATTTGGCATGATATTGTTCCCATGGATGCAGGCCATTTACTTTTAGAACGAACCTGACAGTAGATAGGCATACAATTCATGATGAGTACAAAAAATGTGTATATATTAGAACCCGAAAGCAAGAAGAAAGCATTGATGCCTTCAAAAGAAGATATTAAGGAGGAGGGACTTGATGGTCTCTAATTTGGTGTTTTTAGCACTATACAAGACTTACCACAACATATGCTCTCGTTGGTCTGGAAAAAAAATCAAGTGAAAGTGCAAAAAGAGAATCCCTGTTTCAGCAAAACCAAGACATGTTTCCTATCAAGGTTAAGTATATTACGGGGACAGAAAATTTTTTATCCCTACAATATTGTTTAAAACATAAATCATGTTTCCAAAAATAAAATTGTTGATGTCCTTAGTCGAAGATAATCCTTCTTTAGTACTCTACGGTTTATGTTGGATGGAAGCAAAATGATCAAAAGAACTTTATTCCAACAAAAGAGAAATTTTCATGAAGTGGTCACCCTACTCAAACTTTCAATATTACAATACGTCATTTCTATTGATACAAACTTAAAAGGCATTCTCTCTGATGTTTTTAGGAGGATTAGTTTAATAATTAGGTGGCCTAGGAGTTAATTGATATTTTACTATAGCTATTTCAATGTTAAAAATATGAGGTGAGTATAGAGAAAACCATAGTGAGATCCAAGACTTTGCCAAAATAAGTTCGCCAAAATAAGTTCGCCAAAATCCCTAAACCTTTTCTAGTGTAATTCAGAAGTAGTCCAGCAATAGCAGCAGCTGGAGGATTATCCCATTGCAGTTTCTGGGTAGGAAAAGTCCTCAGGCGGCGTCCTAAGGCTAGCACCAGCCAAGCTAGTCACAGCAATAGGAGTCTAACCTTCTTCATTTCAGTTTTTTATCTGTCGAGTCATGCCAGGGCAGAGGTCAAGAACCACCAAATGAAATTCCTCTAACTGGATATTCTTGAATGCAACGGCTGAGTGTTTCTTGGATCAAGAGGTTCTCACGTAAGTTTCTTTTTTGTTTTTTTTCCTAACTTTGTTAATTTAAAATTTAGGCAACAATATCAATTTGATGATTTTCTATAGCCAAACATGCACCTATTTAATTCACATTTTGTTTGGCTTTATATGATTTTGATATATTCTATTTCTATTATTTTAAACATAGCATTTACTAATTCTATTCTAATAATGAATATGATACACGTGCCTATCAAATCAACAAACTATCGCATAGGGGTGTCAAAGCCGTCTAAAAATTAATCTATTTATTAAATTGATCAAAAATCTCAGCCCAAACTCAACTCGACTAAACCCATATTTGACTTGACATGTAAACAGTTGAATCGTGTTGGGTTAGCACCAATCAAACTTAAAATTGACATGATTATTTGATTTGAACATATAAAGAAAAATATCACTAAATCTTTAATTTTCATTTAAGCTAGCAACAAAAAAAAGTGTGGAGAACTACTTGTTCCACAAAAAAGGATAACATTCTATCCCATGTAAGGATATAGATACATTAGTATCTTTTTATAAGGAAATAGACTTTTTTTTCCAGTCGATTTTATTTTATCTTTTTTTTAATCATACAACATTCAATCGGCAGTTCAAGGCCATTTACTTCAAACTTTACTACCAAAAGTAGTATGACCTCAAAGTTTGTAAAATTTAAAGATGACTTAAACATTCATCAAACATATAGAAGTAACAAACCTAATAGACGGTATAGATAGTGAGATGAATCATTAATTTCATGGTCCACTACTCAAATCATAAAAAGATTTCTTCAGTACACATGGAAAGGCATTTAGAAATATTTAATGTGTTTAATTAAAAAAAAAATAACGCAAAAGCATTACTTTTAGCATGCACAACATTAAAAGTCTACTTTTTTTTTTATCAAATTTACTCAGTACCCATATTTCATTCAAAGCTATCAAACTAGAACACGAAGTTGTTCTAAGTTTATAGACACACCATAAAATAACTTGATCTTATATTTAAAGGAAGTAACCTAGAAAACTGATTATGTGGAGAATAAATTTCTTCAACACAAGAAGAAAATAAACCAAGCATATAAATTATATATGGAACGATAGCACATGAAAGAACCATGCAAAGTAACATGAAAGAAATATACCTTGAGAATTTCAAGATCTGTTTTTAGCTCGGGAGTGATGATTGGAGCTGGCATATCAAACCTAAATTCACATCAATCCATCAGAAAGCTTAGAAAACGAATGTGACCATATAAACGTGTATGCATGCATCAACTCAACTTTAGACGGATCAAAATACACTGAATAGGGGTTAAGTTTAGAACACTAACCAACTTTTTCCTGTTGTGTCTTTCATATTTTTCCTCAGCAACTTATTTAACTTTTTTGGCTCCCTAGGAGGTACATACAACCCATCAACAAGTTCACTGCCAGCCTTCCAGATAGAAGTTTCCGATAAACTAAGTGAATCCACCAAGTTATCCTTCTTTCCGCTGGAAGGCATTGACACTTTTGGAGCCCATGAGAGACCAATGGTGGTTTCTTTCTCTTGCATTCTGACACCAAAAAATAAATGTTATACAACAAACAAGAACAACAATAAAAAAAAATATACACCCATCATGCTAACATCAAGTTCATACAGTGTTAATCTTGGACATATCTAATAAAATTGGGAAAATTCGGATTAGTTCTGAGGGCAATAAGAAAATTGGCAAGAATTTTCTTGCATCTGCAACAGTTATAAAAATAAGAATAGTTCTCATGGTTGACTGTAAAAATAAGAACATTTATAAGACTGTTTTGATACTTGGAACCCGCCAAAGACAGCACCACTGATATTCAAGAACAAACTTGGAATCAAGCAATAATGAAAGAGGAAGAGGCGAGAATGGGGAGTAAAAAAAGAGAGACTAAGTTTGATTAATTTTAAAAGAAGGAAAATGACATAAAATCTTAACCATCCAATCAAAATCACTACTCATCTTGCTTCATTTTCATGTTGCTTTCTGCTTGATTTCATATTTGGTCAGACTTTTTATTTCATATATGAATAATTTGATTATGAAATTTAGAATCCTGAATTTATTTCAATTTTTTCTAATATTTCATCTTCTAATTATATTTTCTATTTAAGAAAGATTAAAAATATTAAACTTAGGGGGCTTAAGGTGAATATTTTGCCTTATGATTCCGCATTATAACTGTGGTTAATTTTGTGTTTATTAAATTGTGCAACTTGCGATGACTCACAAAAATGCTACTTGTGAGCTTAAATTGATACAGGGAAGAGAACATAAGGCTCCTACTTGGGGTGTATATTAAGAGAAACTAAAAAAGCAGGGGTATGAATTTTATGGCACAAAGTTGAAGAAATATTAACTGTTGCAAGTTTAGGTTTTTCCTCGCTAACATTATCCAAGTCAACCACATTAGCGCATATAGGGATTTAAATATAGTTAACAAGTCTTATAATAATTGCAAGCATGAAGAATTCCCATCTTAACATTTAAAATAGCAAATATCATTCTTAAATTAGGCTAGGTTTTGCACTATTAAATTAGGAAAAAGGAACAGGGATTGGTGGAGAGAAAAAGGTCCAAAAAAAAAACCCTCACGACTGTAAGCTCTTTGGCAAGAGATGCGCATCTGATGATCCATAGGAACCGTTTAGTAGCAGGATTTAAGCAAGGTTTAACATAAACCCTGTCAAACGGTAAAAATCGCCTGCTTAAATCCTACAGAATTCTAAGGGACTGTTTGGATGCAGGATTTAGGCCGGATTTGAGCTAAATCCAGCCATACGGCGAAAAATGCAAAACCAAATCTCACGGTAAATCAGAGCCGCGGTTGACGGAAAATTTCAGGGTTTACGAAATCCTTTGGTTCGGCGTATTTACGGGATTTGGCCGAAGAACCGCGCGAAAGGGAGTAAGTTACCTTCACAGCAAGCGAGCTTCCGTTTTTGCTTCCGGTCAAAAAATGGCGTAACTTCCGATGCAAGAAGGGAACGTCGTCGAAGGAGCGAACTCGAACAGCGACGAAGAAGAACTCGTGCAAAACTCTACACTCATGCGAAGGAACGAAGCGAAAGGCAAAACCTAGACTCCTCTAAGAGATTTAAGTCGGATTTACGCTAAATCCAGCCAAACGGTTTTTGCGCGAGCGTTAAATCCCGGGATTTCATAAATCCCGAATTTAGGGATTTACGGCTTCAATCCCGGATTTACTAAATCCCTCAGTTCGGTGAATTTAACGGGATTTACCTTCACAGCCAGCGAGCTCCCGTTCTTGCTTCCGATCAAAATGTCGTAACTTCCGATCCGACAGCAATGGAAAGTCGTCGAAGGAGCGAAGTCGAAAAGCCTCGAATGAGCCGAAGAAGCGAGGCGTGCAATCTCTTGACCATGCAAAGCAACGAAGCCGAACAGCAACGAAAAAGAGAAGATAAAAGGCAAAACCCTTGATGCCTTTAATAAGGTATTATTGATTAACTTAATTAATATAATTAAAATTATTAATAATTAAGAAAATTAATTAAATAATTAATTGTATAATTAGTGCATAAATTAATTATATAATTTAACTTAATTACATATTTAATAATTAAATATTAATACAATTATCTTAATTAATATAACTTAAAATATATATTATTAAATATATAATCAATAGTGTAAATAATAATTAACGAATAATTTGTACTTAACATGTTATTAAATTCATAACACATTAATTTTTATTTTTAATTATAAATTTATTTTTTAATATGTAATTATTTTCTTCACATTTAAATCTCTAACTCTCATAAATCCTGAAATATGTTACCAAACAGTTTATCAGTATTTAACATTTGATATATCAAACTGTTTTCAGGATTTAACACATTTCGAATTTACTAAATCCGGATTTCCAGAATTTACTAAATCCCACTAAAATTAAATCCCACTTGTTGCCAAACAGCCTTTTAAAATAATTGCAAGCATGAATAATTCCCATCTTAACCAAGGCTTTTAAAATCGGACTGGACCAACTGGTTCAACTGGGAACCGGCCAGCCGGCCGGTTACAGTTTGGGATGAAACCATTTTCGCAGAAAATCGGCTCGGAACCGCCCAAACCGGCAGATTGACCGCAGAACCGGCTCCAATTTCATTTAACCGTTCGGTTAACTAAAAAAAAGCGACGGCTGAGATGCCATCTGAGCGGAGTAGCGACAAAGGTATACAAAGTAACGCGCGGAGAAAAAAAACCCTATTATGTATTCATATCAGCGTCATCTTCTCCGGCTCTGGACGACTGGGATTTCAAGAAGTAAAATCTCATGCTTGCTCGCGGCCCTTGCTCTCGTTTTCTCCTCTCTATCACATTGGGGGTCACTAGGAGGTGAATCCATTCTCGGTGAGTATGCATTTCCGGCTTTTGTGAGATTGAATGGTTGCAAATGGTTGAATGGTTGCATTATCAAGTTTTTGTATGTGTATTGTTTACATTTACTCAAAGTTTGAATGGTTGCATTATGGAGATTGTCATATTTTGTGGTATATGATCCAATATCTGCAGCTGGGTGTGCTCCTCACCATCCACCATTACCTGCTATTTTGTAGCATTTTTTTTTTGTTCGGCTGCAATCTTTTCTTGTTTTCAGTTGTATTTGCTTGCCACTAAGTCAACACTGTGGGAATATGTAGCTTTGTCATGTATGACATTTTATTAGCTTTATTCTGAGTTGCAATATCATGTTTAAGTGAATTAGTTAATATGCATGAAATGTATTTTGGGCATAGTTGATCATGGAATATTAGCCTTGAACCATGTTCCTTAATATATAGGAAATTTGTTGGGATGCCTTAAGTACTTTTATGTTCTTAGTTTTGTTTCATGTTTTATTTATTTATTTTTTTGCGGTAAGAATTCGCATATCTATCTTTATGTTTGTCTCCACCACCTTCCTTATTGATGAGGGTAATTCCGTTGCATTGCTAGGTAGTTGCTCATATTAGTTGTTTTCTTACCCATCTGATACTTGAAGGTTGTGGTGGTGACAGCGTTGACGCTTTCCCTACGGAATTCATCTATACCAAATTTAGGAAAGCATAAATTAGTTGATACTTTCGATTTGAAATTATCTTAAATCTATTCCAGATTTCGAGCGTGCTTTCTTTGCGGAATTCATCTATACTTCTTAAAGGTTGGAGACTTTAGGCTGTGGTGGAAGTTCAAGTGATATAAAATTTCAGTTATTTGAGATATGCATTGTATGTCGTTTTAGATTTGTGATTTTTTAAATTGCATAGTTTTCTACCTTGCATAGTTTTCTATGTTATACTTTTTAACTTTGTAGTTTTCTACTTCGTAGTTTGCTACCTTGCATAGTTTTAATTTTTGTGTATGTGATTTTATTTAGTAAACCAAATTAGAATGGAACAACCTAGTATTCAGAGTTCAGCTTCAATTTATACTGTGCGTGAGAAAGTGGACATTGCTTGGAATCATTTTTTTGAAGTTAAAGGAGCTAATGGGAATAAACAATTTAAATGTTTACATTGTGGTATTTCATACAAGGGAGGAGGAATAAATAGAATGAAACTACATTTAGTAGGTATGAAGGGGAATATAGCTGCTTGCAAGAAGGTTTCACACGATGTTAGATATCAAATGCAGGAAAACTTGAAAGAAATTTTAAGAAAAAAATAACAAGCACAGGAAGAGTTGGACATCACTCCATTTCCTATGGATGATGCTATAGATGAAGAGAGAGATTCATGTTCGCTACCAAAAACACAATCTTCTCAAGCACATGTATCAGAACTAAGTAAAGGAAAAAAAAAGCTTCTGATATGGATACCTTCTTTGCCCCCAGAACTGAACGAGATTCCCAACCTTCAATTAAGAGTGCTTTAACATCTAAGGAAGTAGCGCATTGTGCAGATATAACATTAGCAAGGTGGTTTTTTGATTGTTACATTCTTTTAATGCTCTTACTTCAGTATATGGACAAAAAGCTGTTGATGTCATTACTGCAATAGGTCCTGGTTACAAGCTCCCCAGTTATCATAACATGAGAGTAAACCTACTTAGGAATTGCAAGGAAGAATGCAGGAAACTTAATGATAGTTATAGACAAATTTGGAAGGAAACATATTGTACACTTATGTCAGATGGATGGACTGATAGCAGGAGCAGAAATTTAATCAATTTTTTGATATATTGTCCATGTGGTGTTTCATTTTTAAAATCAGTTGATGCTTCATACATCATAAAGGATGCTACCACTTTGTGCTCTTTATTTACTAAGGTTGTTGAGTGGGTTGTCCAAAGAGTGTTGTTCAAATAGTTATTGATAATGCTGCTAATTACAAGAAGGCAAGTCAACTGTTATATGAAAGATTCAACAATATTTATTGGTCACCATGTGCTGCACATTATATGAATTTAATTTTAAAGGATATTGGAAGCACGCCTCTCATAGAGGAGCTAGCAAAAAAAAAAACATCAAAGTTGACAATATTCATACTTGTATAGCTTAGGAAAAGGCCAAGTTGGAAGGAGATCGTACGACCTGGAACAATCCGTTTTGCAACAACCTTCATAACTTTGAAAAGCGTGCATGAGCACCACATCAAGACCTACAAGCACTAATCACAAGCAAGTTCTTTATGGATTCAAAGATATCCAAGACCTCCAAGGGAAAGGAAGTAGCTTCAATCATTTTGGACTTGAAGTTTTGGGATATTTGTCTTATTATTTCGAAGATATCGGGCCCTTTGATTAGGTTGTTGCGTATTGTTAACTCTGATGAAAAACCATCTCTTGGATATCTATACGATGGCATGTATAGGGCAAGGTAGGCTATTAAAGATTTGTTCAAAAATGTAAAGAGATCATATAAGCCTTTTATTACAATAATAAAAAGAATATGAGATACTCAATTAAGGCAAGAAATCCATTCAGCAACATGTTTTCTCAATCCTCATTTTCAGTTTGATAGAGAGAACCATTGTCAAAAGCGAGAAATTTTACAAGGTCTAGTTGAAATAATTAAAAATAAAGATATTTGCTCTAAGCCAACAGTTGCAATCAATGAAGTTAGATTATTCCGTGATTGCTTAGAAAGCTTTGGAAAACCAATTGCACTGACAATGACGAAAGAAATGCAACCTGGTAATTCTCCTTTTTACTTTCAATATGTGTAAATACTTATACAAATATGCTTATTCACTAAATCTTCAAACTTGATAATATGTAGATGAGTGGTGGAAGATGTTTGGATCAAGTGCTCCAAACTTATAGAAAGTTGCTATAAAAATTCTCAGTCAAACATCATCTTTATCAGGATGCGAGAGAAATTGGAATGTTTTTGAACAGATCCACTCAAAGAGATGGAATTATTTGGAGCATCAACGACTCAACGATCTTGTATATGTTCGGTATAATTTGAATTTAAAGAATAGATATAATCTTACATTAAATTAATATTTATGTACAAGTGTCAATTTAAGTAGTATATATAATCTTAATATAAAATTATTTTATTTATTTTTCAGGTTTCAACTTAAAAAAAGACATTATGACCATCTGGACTACACTTGTGTTGAAATTGTTGATTTTTGGATACTTGAAAATTAAACAACTCCAGAACTGACTTACAGGATTTGAAAAATGAGATATACAAAGAGGATGCAATACCAATTGTTGAAGATTAAAATATATCATTTAATTAATCAAGAGGCCCAGGACACTGTAAGTTGATAATGAAATTTGAGTATATTATTTAATTGAAAGCAAAAATAATATCTTATTTTATATTTCTTATTTGTTGGTGAATGTGACTTAGAGAATGAAGGAGATGTAAGCAACATAATCGGGCCCGATCAATCGGATGAATTTGGGTTTGAACATTTTGGTGAAGCAAAACCTGTAGACTCAACTTATATAGATAGATTTGATGATGCTAATTGAGGAGATCTTTGAAACTATTGAACTGAGAAAGTGAAACTTTGATTTTAATTATGAATATGTTTTCTTTTTTGTTATCAGTTGGTCTAAAGTAATTTTGCAACTTTTTATGATTGGTTGTCTTAAGTGAAAAATATTGTTATGTTTTTCTTTTTTACTTTATATAATATTTACTTTTTATGCTTTATGCCTTTATATTATAATTATGTTTAATTTTTGTTATATATTTAAAAATAATTATGTCATTATTATAATATTTAAATATGATAAACATTTATTACGTCATCCGGTTCGACCCCGGTTCAACCCCGGTCGAACCATCAAACCGCTAACCTCTTCTTTTTTCCGGTTTATTGACCGGTCCGATTTTCAAAGCCTTGAACTTAACATATAAAATAGCAAATACCATTCTTAAATTAGGCTAGGTTTTGCGCTATTAAATTAGGAAAATGAAGAGGGATTGGTGGAGGGAAAAAGGTCAAAAAAACCCTCATGACTGTGAGCTCTCTGGCAAGAGATGCGCATCTGACGATCCATAGGAACCGTTTAGTAGCAGGATTTAAGCAAGGTTTAACATAAACCCTGTCAAAACGGTAAAAATCGCCTGCTTAAATCCTACAGAATTCGAAGGGGCTGTTTGGATGCAGGATTTAGGTCGGATTTGAGCTAAATCCAGCCAAACGGACAAAAAAGCAAAACCAAATCTCACAGTAAGGCTTCGTTTGGGACGGCTTTTTTCCTGCTTTCTAAAACGGAGTTTTTGTACAAAATTTTTTATTTTTGTACTAAAACTCCGTTTTAGAAAACAATAAAAAAGCCATCCCAAACGAAGCCTAAATCAGAGCCACGGTTGACGGAAAATTCCCTCTTTTCGTGGTAAATGCCGGATTTACGAAATCCTTTGATTTGGCGGATTTACGAGATTTGGCATAAGAAGCGCGCGAAAGGGAGAAAATTACCTTCACCGCAAGCGAGCTCCCGCTGCGGTGAAGGTTCATTTATTAAAATTTCACATTTATTCTTTATTCTTTTCTTCTATTATTCTCATCTTACAATAAATAACTAAAATATATATTATATAATTTCTGATTCATTTATTAATAGTTCATTTGGACTTATAATTTCATATTCATTTCTAAATTATATTATTTATTAAGATTTCACCTTCTTATTTTTTTTTTTAATTTTCGAATACAAATTAAACTAACTCAAATTTTGATTCATTTACCATAAAGGCCTTGCCTTATGCTTCACTTAAGGGCATCTCCAACCGAAACTCTCATTTTTCACTGCAAAATGCAGTAAAATCAAAAAGTGCCGTGATTCATCTTCAGTGGAACGCCATTTTGCCCCAAAATCATCGTCGTTTCTTTCGCGCCTTTCTCATACAGAGTTCGGTAGAGAGAAAGAAATGGAGAAAGTGAACAGTGCGACACAATATTGACGTCGCACTGTTCATCAGCGACTGAATGCCGGCAAAAATGGAGTTCGGTTGGCACGTCTGAGGCTCTCCATTTGCCTGTTTGCCGAACGGCTGGAGAAGGCCTAAGAGTTCATTTGGAATGACCACAAAAACTATTTAAAAAAAAAGAATTATTATTATTATTATTATATATTTACTCTTGAAAAAAAGATGATATTATTATACTCGAGAAGATTTGATTCGAAAAAAATATATTCTAATCACAAAAATTTAATAAAAAAGCAAAAAAATACGGGAAAATAAAAAATTGACAATAATCTATAGAATAAAATTGTAAAGAAAATATCTCCAATTATGCTTACAAGTTTTTGTACATTAAGATTTCATTTGGAATAGCTTCCTAAGATTTTGCTTGAAATAGTTTTTAAAATATTTTTTAAAGTAACATTTTAATAAACAAAGTTAAAAGCAGTAAGAAAGCCGTTTCCAAAAGAAGCCTAAGTTGGCTAAGTACTGTAGCAGCTGGGTAGATAATATTTCCTAATCAATCAGTAACCTTTATGAAGAAACTAACAAAAGAACTTTATCATAACAAAATCAGTCAATTCTTTAAGAATTCAAAATCAACGAAAGTGCCCAAGTCCAATACAACTTCTCAAGAATTTTGTAAGGCTTCCATTTGTTTATATTTTTTTGTTCTCAAGTAGCATATAACGTTAGCCACAGATACAGACTTCTTCTGGGAGGTCGTTAGAGCTGCTGATAAAACAAGTATCTGAATTCTCTTTAGAATTTTCTAGTTAGAGGGGTCATTTTAATAAATTTTTTATCAGAAAAAAAAAAATTTATCAAAAGGCCGCCATTTTTAGGTCCACCTCTATCTTTCTTAACATAAAGTTAAATCTAATACATCTACTCTCCTAACTGGGTAATCGGAAGGCCACCGTTTTATGTGAACAAGCCATCTAAGACGACTCTCTCTAATCTTATTTTCCACCAGAGCTACTCCAACCTTTCACTTATATGATCATTTCGACTGTAATATACTTAGACCATCTCCAACAGAGAATCTCATTTTTCACTCTAAAATATCGTGAAACTAAAAAATGCCGTGATTCATCTCCAATCGAACTTCATTTTGCCCCCTTTTGCGAAGGTAACGGTCTTTCTTTATTTCGCGCGTTTCTTCGGCAAGTCCAGTAGAGACAGAAAAATAGCTAAGATGAACAGTGGGACGTCAATGTTGGTGTCACACTGTTCACCCGCAACCAAATAGCGGAAGTTTTACGGTCCGGATGAAGCTCGTGAGCAACGTCATTCAAGCATTTGGAGTTCGGTTGGAGATGAACTTAAAAAAATTTAAATGATCCCAAAAATAAATGTAAATTGAATACTTTTGAGATTATAAAATATCAAATCTTAAGGGACTGCATCATCCACCTTGAAATCAAAAGAAGGGAAGTGCCAAAGCCCAACATGATAACTAAAAATCTTTCCAAAGACGCCTCTTTTGACCAGTTTCTGCTTTGCAGTGGCATGCAGAAGAATTATAAATACAGACTTCTGAGAAACTAATCCTCAAACTCAAGCCAAAGATGCCACCAATCCATGTAATCTCCAAAGAAACCATCAAGCCCTCTCTCCCAAGTCCTCAAAACTCCATTAAGCTCTCCTTACTCGATCAAATCGCTCCTGAAATCTACACCCACTTACTGCTCTTCTACTCTACTACTTCCAGTGACTTGCAAAAGCTTCCTCAGAAACTAAAGATTTCTCTTTCAAAAGTTTTGAATCAATTCTATCCGTTAGCAGGAAGGATTGAAGTACCAGTCAATGGTACTCTACATATCAACTGTAATAACAAAGGTGCAGTGTTCATAGAAGCCTATTCTGACACTGATCTCAATGTCTTCTTACTCTCCCGTCCCATTAACGAGTTCAAAGAGCTCCTTCCAGTCAAAAACAGCATGTTCAAACACAGGGAACCTCTTCTTTTACTACAGTTTACTAAATTCTTAAACGGCTATGTACTTGGAGTTTCCATTTCTCATGTGATTGCTGATGGTGCTTCCATGGCTTTATTCCTTAACCGATGGGCAGAGACAGCACGTGGGGAGGAGGAAGAAAGGCTCACCATGCCTTGCTTCACTTCAGCTTCAACTCTTTTCCCTCCCAAGCCTCATAAGATTGTTTACCAGGAACCAAAAGAGCCATTGGAGAACTCAAAAGTAGTCATAAAAAGGGTTTGCTTATCTTCATCTTCTATAAGGAGGCTGAGAGAGAGCGCTTATAAGCGCAGTGAGAAGCCAAGTAGAGTTGAGGCTGTCTCAGCTCTTGTGTTAAGGTCTGTAATGCGAGTAACTGGAAGGGAAAGAATGGAAAAAGTATTAGTTTCACAAGTTGTGAACTTAAGGAGTAGATTGAAAGGTTTATCGTATTTCTCCATTGGTAATCTATGGACTGGTGGAGTGCGTGATCTTGAGAGAGAAGGAAGACAGGAAGAGGTGGAGAAGGTACTAAGGGAAGTTGTTAGGGAAGTGAATGAGGAGACAGTGAGGAAAGAAGCTGAGAGGAGTTTCACACTTAAGAATGAAGTAAAGGGAGAGGATGATGATAAGGGAAGAAGAAATGAAAGGTTATGGATATTTAGTAGTTGGTGCAGGATACCTTTGTATAAGAGTGATTTTGGATTGGGAGAACCAGAGTGGATTGGGTGTGGGATTTGGAACATGAAGGATGTTTGTATATTGATTGACGCAAAGGATGGGGAAGGGATGGAGGCGTGGTTGTGGATGGAGAGAGATGAGATGGATAGATTGGAGAATGATGAGGAGTTCCTTTCCTTTGTTTCTTTTTAGATTAGAAGGAAAGGAGGATCATGTTAATTGTTGTGATGATAATAAAGATGTGTGGTGTGGCCAATTATTCTCTTTTAATTTCATATTTGTGTCTATATTAAAAAGTGCATATAATTCTGTTGATTTATGATCATATCACTTCGTTCAAATTTGTCTCTTGGAAAAAAAAAAAAAAAAAAAATTGTCTCTTGGATCATCTATCTAACTTTGTGTTAGGTCTCCATCAAAATTATCTCAATTTAATATAAAACATATAAATCATTACAATCACTTGGAGCATTTGATATAACAACTTTCAAATATTAAAGAAGACATACCCAATTTTTGGCCTAAAATACTTGGGAATAGGGATGTAGGAATAATAAGGACATGTAAATCTAAAAAAAACACTCACACATATCTCTCTAAATAAACAAATAACAGGATATTTTTTCAAACACGACTATGATAAGCCATTTTAAGTCAAATTTTCTATTATAAACAATAGATAACATGATGTCCCTCTCGCCAATTTTATGGTCTAAACATTGCACTACATAAATAACATGAGTTCAAGCATAATGACTATTTTTCATCTTAGTTTTCGAGCATTTCGTCCTTCCTTTTTTCTAATATTAATTTTTCCTATGATTACTTTATTTTCTTCTATATTTGGTCAATGCTCAACAGATTTATTTAAAAATTAGCATGAAAAAAAAATGCAATGCAAGCGGATTCTTGTTCATTTTTTGATGAAAAGTAAACTCGGTCAATTTTGAGTAAATTCATTTTTCCAATCAAGTAAGATGCCTTGTTGTTGTCGGTCGTGATCAATTGCCCGACGCCCGCCTGTAGCTGTTGGCCGACGCAAAGCACCCTAGCCTACCACCACCACTGTAAACCATTGACCACCACCATTTTTGAACTTTACAATGCATTCATTAAACATCATGCCAAAATAATAAAAAAAAAATTTATCACAAATAACTTCACCATTTCATTTACAGTATATTCTTTTTACACTGCATTCCTTTTTCAGCCAACCAAACAATCCCTTAATCTTTATTTTTATTTTATCTTCCACATAATTTTACTTAAATACTATGTTTTATTGCCATCTTTTTTTAAAATAACAAAATTTGCTTTTATAAATAGCTATAAGGTTTAGAATATTTCATCATCTATTTTTTGCCATTAATAATTGTCCATTATTCTTATTATTATTTTTAGTATTGGCACTAATTTATATATATGTTAAAATTCTGGCATATAATTATGATTGACCCATGATTTTATTTCTCATATTGATATATTTTGCCATACCAAAACTAAACGAGTAAAAATCAATATTTTTCCATTATAATAAAATATATCATAGAATTTTCTTTCAAAAATGTATACATTAAATTTGTTTTTGTTAAATTCATGAGTTTAGTAATTCGTTTTATTAAAAGTTTAAATTTCCCAAATTATGATTATAATTAAATATAGTTCTTGATATTCAATGATCATATTTAAAATTAAAAAAAAAACAAAATATATCTTCCTTTATAATTAATAATAATTTCTAATAATGGAGGCTTAATTTTCTTTCATATATAGTGTAGATTCCAGGAGTAAAAGATGAAGCTCCATGCATTAGTGAATTGCTGCCAAGTGGAGAGGAATAAGCATGGGCGTTTTATATGTTGAGATGAGATGGTATGGAAGAGATATATTGGAATCATTGCCTAAAAAAAAGAGATCATCAGTAATTAGACAAAAATAATGACGGACGAGTAATATCATCAATGTATCCAAGAAGGTCATATCTTCGTTGGATGGTCTTGTGAGTTAATATATTGCATGCTCCTCCAAGCAGATGACTATGTTAAGATCTTGAAGAAGTGTTATCCACAAAAACAAAGATGAGAAATTGGACGTGCATGAGACTTAGGTTTTGTTCGAGTTAGCTTTCTTATTGCTTTTTAAAGTAACTTTTTAGTACAAAATTTTTTTTAAATTAGAATTTTTTGTGCTAAAAAACTACTTTAAAAAGCAATAAAAAAGCTATCCCAAACAAGCCCTAGTCAAAGGAGATTCTAACCTCGTCAAGAGGAATACAAGAGGAGGCATGCTCAAATGGTCATAGATGGGTGCTTTACTGTGAAGTAAAGAAGCTTCAAGAGGGACTTAAAAGTATTTAATGAGTAACTCAAACTACTCGGCAATTGTTCCTGCTACTTGCCTAATTTGGAACAACAGATATGCATGAGATAAATTTTGAATTAAATTTTCAATTATGCTTAGAATTTGATCACTCACTTAATAGCATTAATTCCCAACTTAATCCTTCTATTTTCACTGTACGTATTGTGTGGGATTGAATTAAAAGAGCTGCAGAAGAAATACTATGACGTTGACTACAAGCCCAATTTATATTACAAACCATAGCCCCGTGTTCCCTCTTGGTATGTCTAGTCTCCATAATTTTAAGAGACTTTTAAATGGTTTGGAACCAATCAAATGGATGTTAATAATCTTTTATATGTGTCGAATGACTGTATTAGAGAAATGCTTGAGAAAAATAGGCTTTTAAAAGAGATTTTACGTGGCCTAATCATCCTTGAACCTTTGACATGTTTAATGAATGGTTAAGTTATTAAGAAATTTGATGAAAGTCAATCCACATATAATTATTTGATATTCCAAAGGCTGTGGCTCCTAATGAAATATCTTAGATTAACGTTAATGTAGGATACATACCATAGTTCATGTGCAGCGCACTCACCAGCTGCTCCAAATTTTCTGTAGATTTCAATAGTCAACGTACTGCAAGGAAGAAGAAAAAGAAGGACAAGCACTGTCCACTGGACAGCGAGACAGTAGATTCAAGCTCATATTCCCAGTAGCTTCAGGAAAGCTTCAGCATTAGTAAGATCAGGGAGAATAACAGCATTGCCGTTGCTTGCTTTCTGTAGTTCTTCTGCCGTGAATACACCGGTGCATACGCCGATAGCCAAAGCCCCTCCATTCTCAGCAGCACGAATATCATTTGGCTGAAGAACATTGAGAACATTTAAGCAAACTAATTCTCCATCTTCTAATCAAAACACTTGAAAATTTTTGAATGATGGAGATGATTACTTACCGTATCTCCAACATGTACTCGTAAGTCAAAACCATCAGGATAGAGCTTGTTTGCTCTATTTGCAGCAATTTTGATTAATTCTCCACGTTCAGTATGATCGGTTCCAAATCTGTTAAGGTTTCAGCTTATTAAGAATGCAAGGAAAAAAAACTATGTATACAGAAGAATGAAGAAAAGGAGAACAATTATAGAAAAAGTAACCACATATTTCAGCCTACCCTCCAAATTTTGGAATAGTAAAATATTTTTGAATTCCCAGCCCCTCCATCTTCATCCAAGCAATCTCTTCAAGATTTCCTGTAACCTGTATAAACGGAATCAAAAACTAAAAATCTGGCAGAAGATTTACTCTTTTCACATTTTACAATTGATTTTAAATTCATCAGTGATCATCCTGATCAATATATCAGGAACTAAGCAGCTGTGCAGTTATTTGATTGATATTCGTTTTTCTAAGAATTTTTTTTTTCCTTAGTGGTTAAATGTTTATTATTGCAATTCCATAATTCTGACCAGTGACCCGCTCCTCCCACGTGACACTACATAACCTTTCTATGCATCATTTCTTCTAAAGCAAAATAGCAGATGCAATAAAAGACATACCAAACCAATGGAAACACCTTTTGAAGATAAAGCATCCAGCAAAGAAGAAACACCAGGAAGAACTTCCAGGCCTTCCCCAATGTTTTGGGCATGTTCCTTGGCATATTCAATCATTCTTGCCTTGAGGTCAGGGAGCCTTTCCAAGGCCACCTAAAACCAGATAAATGATTGTGATGACTCAATTAAATATACGTAAGGTGCAATTCAAATATATATGTTAATATTCGACTTTGCTCAGATTCATCTAAGAAACCCGGAGGAAAATGATCCTAATTCAAGGAAACTGCATCGTGATTATTTGACCATTTTGCACTTTTTTTTTCAGAATAAGAAGGTTCGTTATGCAAAAAGGAATATGGACTTTCGAATAGTTAGCTGTTAGCATAACAAAAAGCACCGAAAAATCCCAATGTAAAAAAAAGGCAAACCATATATAAGGACAGGGATCACGCATACTACTTCAATAGAACACATTAGTAATGGAAACTGCATTTAAGGTATCTCTGTTTTCCACAGAATTTAAACATGGTTGAGGGACCATAAAATGGTCTTGATGGGAGGTACCGTATAAATGGTCCAGTTTTTTCTGAAGAAAATTGGGAATTGTCAATACACTTCCCTTCTAAAGACCCTGAATACACTTGATTAATTTGCTACTAAGAAACATAAATGGCACAAAACAATCCCCAAAGGAAAAAAAATGCAAATCATATTGTTGTGTGCTAGAATATTCATAGCAGTCGAAAGTTAAGGCCATAGACTTACATGAAAATTCTGCATGCACACACACAAACAAGTAGCCTACAACAACAAAAAGCACACTTCTTATGTGGAAACATCAAAAAGGGAAAAATCACATGACCTAATACATTTGAGATGGTTATAATATTGCAGTTGAGGATTACAATGCTTTATGGTGCAAAATGTTGGCCATTAAAAGCAAAGCATAAAATTAAGTGTTGCAGAGATGATGATGCTTAGGTGGATGAGTGGATTTACACTTAGAGATAGAATGAGAAACAAGTACATACCAGAAAAGGTTGGAGTAGCACCATTGGCAGATAAGATTAGAGAGTCTCCTTAGATGGTTTGGTCACATAAAACCTCAGCTTTTGATGATCGTGTTAGGAGAATAGACGTATTAGATCCAACCTATGTTAAGAAAGGTAGATGTAGACCTAAAAAGACTTAATTAGAAAGTATTAAAAATGACATTTTATTATATTTAAATGAAAATTTGACTCTTAATTGGACAAAATGAAAAAAAAATGATAAATGTAGCCAATGCCACGCAGTGGGATAAAGACTTGTTGTTGTTGTTATTGTCATCATGCCAGTTGGGGATTGCAATAATTCACCCTTCTTCAATACTAGAGGAGATGAGAATATATACTACAAAAAAAAAAAAAAATCAACATTTACCATGGGAATTTATGGTAGAAAATTTTCACCGGAAATTTCCTTGATAATTAGTTTACGCTGTGGGTTTTCCAGCGGAATTTTTTATCGTAATATTGACTTAATTTATGGAGGATTTTTCCACCATAAAATCCGCCAGTAAGAGCCCTATTTTGTCCCGAGCCATCGTCCCATCCCATGTCACGTTTTGTTCTCCCATACCAAAACTCTCATCCTATTTGTCACTTGTTGCTATTACAAGTGGTTTATAGTTTGTTTTCTTCCATTTTTTTGATATTTAAGAGGTAAAATATGCCGGAAATCGAAAATTTCCTTATATATTAAAAGCCCCTATATAAAATCCTTAATAAGGACATTGTCCTACGTCAGGTGAAATCCGAGGTTTCCAATCCATCATACCCTTTGAGGTCTTTTAAATAAAGACATGTTTTTTAAATAACATATTCTTCTAAGGACTTTAAAATAAATGTGCCATTTTTAAATAATGGATTCTTTTAAGGGGACCTTTGTCTATCTGTGATCTAAAAATAGTGCCTTGCCCCTCTCGCTAAGGATTCAGGGATGTTTTTGCCTAGTCAAATTTTTAGAAGATATAATAGATTTAATTTAAGATACTACATAGAAATTTCACCCTCATTTTGAGAGAAATGTTTGATATAATTTCAGGTTTCCCATAAGCGCAAATCATTTTGATTAATTAAGCCTCTTGGTAACAAGAGAGAACTTTCAATCAAGGCTAATCGTTGGATAAGCGTGTATTACTTAGCATATTATAGTAACAAATTTAGTATTGGGATTTAAAAATTACCATCATGCATTCAATGATAAACCCGATTAAAATCACATGATTCTGTCATCCTAAGTTGTCATGATCCATTAGCTATTGAGTCATAAGACGCAATCAACCCAACCTGACAAAATAATCCTTGTTAGAAATCATGGATTGCATTGTTTGAGGAAGCTTGAAGACCTGGAGTGGGTTGATCTTATGAAATAGAGAGCTATGTGTCGTATCAAGTGCATTATATGATTCATTACTTATGGTTTTTACTTTTTAGCTATTGGGGAACTTGTAGGTTTTGGCTATGACCATAATTTAATGGTACCATTTTATGGAAAAAACACCCAATTAGAAAATGATGCAGGACTACTTAGATGAGATGCTTATGGATTCATTCAGGCATTGCACAACTCTTAGATTAGAATAATTTTGGCTTAAAATTACTAGCAATTCTCAACGAAGAATAAAACAAATAAGGAGATACTTTGCGTAGGCTAAATCACATGCTCCAAGTTTTGAAATTTCAAGATAACTAAGAAAACATAAACAATGCAAAATAGTAGTCTTCAATTTAATCCCTAATCTAACAACGAGATTTAGGATGCAAAGAAAGTACGCTCAATTCCTATAATTTACTAAGCTTAGCAAGAGCACTTGGAGGAGACTTTCG